TTAATTCACAAAATGGATGCAGCAGTAAGGTTCTGCTACTAGTAAATAGAAATGACGGTTTAAAAGGATATCATCAATTGCCATGGATAGAGGGAAAAATGTTTTATTTATTTGCAATAGATATGTCGTTTTAGCGTTTTTGTTGCAGTTGTGAACAATGTACGTTAATTTTTATGTATAATTTTCTGGCCTTGTTCGTGTATAAAATATGTTAATTTAGGTTAAATATCTCAAGTTTAAAGATAAGTTAATCGCAATTTCATGGTTAACTACCTTAATCCGAAACTTTAACCTGATACGGAAAGAACAGAGGGATTGATAGCAGGAAGCACAGACCGTAAGACATATAGGCCCCGTTTTCCATGCGTTCCTTTGGTTGATATATTCGAGCGTGTGGTTTTGTCAGTTTTTATGGACTTTCCTTATTTCAATTTACCTTGGAGGTGTTCGGTATTGTTGTTATTACATTTTCTTAGACGGGACATTTCGTTTGACAAGTTAGATGGAATATTACAACATACTAGTAAAACATATACTTCATACAAAATAGACACTTTTTTTTGACATTATGTCACTGTACATTTCCTCTAAATGACTGAACTTAAAATGATAATAGTGATACCCTTCAACAATATAATAATAAAGAAGGTTTGAATTCATATGAAGAAATTCGACTTACAAAATTATTTGCCTAATTACATTTTTTTTTTCTAAAGGGGCTATAATAAAAATAACATAACATTTCTTAGTTTGTTTTTTTTGTTTTTGTTTTTTTTGCATTCTTCTTTAAGCCAAATTTCAAATTCTTTAAAAAAAAAATATGTTTACACCTTAAAAGTAATAAAGTTAACAGTTCTCACAAAATATATATACTTCTGTCTCTTCATTCACATGGTAAAGAATGATTCTTTTTTATCTGGAAATCCTAAACCACAAAAGAAAACAATTATATGTTGCATGTGTTGCATATCAAGTACTACAGATTCATTCAATCGATCATTGCGAGAGGCTCCCTCCCTTTATAGATCTTAATGCATGATAAATGCATAGGCAGTTTTACAAGTATCACTCCAAACGTTTGCTTGCCAGGAGGAGCCTCATTTTTCAAAATCCAGGATCCGCACCTTGTTGCAATCTGTTAAATAATATGTATGAATTAGAGGAGGTGCGAGGTGTACGCCAATGACACAATACAATGACAAAAAAGCAAAATTACATCAAGAACATCTTTACAATATTAAATATGGATCCTACTCAACTAGAGTCTCGTAAAGTTATTAAGTATAGTATGGAAGAAGCTGATTTTAAATATTCTACGACTGAATATTTGAATTTACATATAGACTAGGTCTAACTCTTTGGTCGGGTTGTTGTCTCTTCGACACATTCCCCATTTCCATTCTCAATTTTAGGAATGTCCAACTGGGGGATGACAATATATATGATGCTTCATCAGGAATGTACAGGGATATAATTTTGCGCTAATGCATACCACTATACAGTAAATGGCAGAGAAATTGAAACCGTTTTCATCAAAGAATAAAAGTTTTAGCAAAGGAGACAAAGGAGCAATGTTGATTTGGACTAACAAGCCATACGATTTAAATGTGAACACTAGTATCTCTGAACTAACAAATGTCTGTCAAACTGTAAGTGGAGAGTATTATGATTTTGCATACGGTCATTCAATGAACAGCTTTAAAAAGGGTTTGAAGTTGCAAAATAACTACTAATGTAAAAATTCAACAAAACACTTAAGTACTTCAATCACTTATACTTGATTTTTATCTCTTTCGTAGAAAAATTGAAATGTTTTATTTTCATATCCACTCGTAGTGTAATTAAGTACAAAAATAGTAGAAATTCTAAATAAAAAAGGTTAAAAAAAAGTTAGCAATGATGTGTGTATTGCTTCCAAGTATGATCGATAGTAACCTTCAAACTGATTTGGATATCGACCAAAACTTTTATCAGTAATAATTTTTGAAGAATATATAATCCTAAATTTAGGTGTTTCCAGTCTTAGATCGCAGCCCAAACTATCTAGTTTTTTTTTAATAGTATATACTTTAAATTACTAAAAATAAGTACTGTACGTTTTTCTATGCAATGTAGAGTTTTGCGCCCGGGCACACTTCTACATAATTTTATTATGTAATCTGACATTCTCAATGTGTTCAGTTTGTAACCTATAGATCAGATCAATTCTATAGTATTTCACTAATATTTTAGTAGCAACAAATTTAAAAATGAAAACCAGACGGAAACATATTGATCATTGATCACAAACAGTCCAAAAGACATTCCTCTGGTTTATAACAAAAAGGTGACAGTATTTTTTTTTCATCTGGGATGCAAGTAAACAGACTTTCGGAAAATTATCCCCTTATATTTAAAATTTAAATTTCGTGGCAATATCAGTAAGGACATATGTCTCCCAGTCATCAATTCTGTTACAATTCGAGCCATTTTGCCATGTAGTTTCAGAGATATTTGATAACTTTCAAATTAGAATATATTATTGCCTCTCGGTGCCAAATTTTTGTCAGATGGGAATCTAATCAGAAACGCTTGCAGATGACCTCTAAATTATCACTCATTTCAAATTGTTTAAATTTTGCGAGCAAAGTGCGTTCAGGGAAGTTGAAAATGTGAAAAATAACATACATTGGACCACAAGTAATGACAATCTCTCAAGTGGCCTTTCAGGCCAGTTGAGCTCAACAGTTACTATTGAGATATGATACAAAAGGTAATTGTTAAATCAACATTTATTCTGCTAACTACAGATCTAAGCTGCCAAAACATTCCACCTGAGTTAAAACACAGACCCATTGTATTAGCAACCTCATCGTGATTGTGACTGGAAAACTTGTGTATTGTTGATTTCAGTTGTTCATCCTCTTGAACCTACTAGATGAGTCTACATAATGTGAACATGACCAAATAAATTAGACATTTCAAATTACAAAAATCTTCAGTTCGAGTAAGAACAGGTGTGTCAAAATGGTAAGTTGCTCCTGTTAAGCATGCATCACAAATCATACATCTTCGACATCCTGTAGCATGACAACACCAGTAATAAAGTCAGATGATAGATTGATTGTTGGTTGCTAAACGTCCAGTGGCAAATATTTCATGCATGTTCAGGACGATCATATGATAGAAAATCCAACTACACACGACAAAACATGAACAAGACAATTCGAAAACAAAAACATACGTAAAGTTAATGAACAAAGGGAAGTAAAACTATGGCAATACAAACTCCTATCAAAATCAAGTGAAATCAGATCCTCAGGAAAAGTAAGACTATCCTATTTGCATACAACATCCTCATATTGGTAACTGAAAAGGCTAGTGATGGGGTCGATTTTTTAAGTGTCAAAATCATCAAAAAGAATATGAGACTCTAAGGGAAGTTTGTCTGATCAATTTTGACAAACTGGTCTGATAAAAATCAACTAATTCATAATTATGGCCCAAAAATAGCATTAAACAGTACTAATATATTACACCAGATGCATATTTCAGTGCAGACTGTCAAATCTAATTACAAACATTGAAGAGCTCGTGTCACAGAGCACCAAAAGACCCTGAATTTTTCTTAAGATGGCATTATTTAGGGTGAATATTACTTTGACAAAACTTTCTAAGACCAAACTACAAAAAATATAATACAAAATATACACTTTTTATTTACAACATACACATATTGACATGAGTGTCAACTGTACAATTACTGTTGATATCTTAAATGCCATATTTACAACAATAAGTTCTTCAAAGATAGAATAAATAGAATTCAAAGTCATGAGAGGAGGAAGTCATGAGAAAAAATCATTTTCTAAATATTCCATTTCTTTCCTAAATAAGACATACTGAGGACAAATCAAATTGATAAATTCGAACAAAAGTGTTTGATGATATGTGATTTCTTTTAAGGTGGTACATAACACTACAGGGAGATAACTCTTTAAAAATCAGCTGAAGGTTTTAATCACGTTCTATTAAGGAAATATTGAGCTTCTCAATGATCAAAATTAGTGTTTGTCAAACTGCTATATATCCAATGAAATTCTTCCAATAAAGTGTGTGGTTCAAGTTTATTGAAATTTTTATATTTTTGTCAAAGGGTCAAAGTTAATATTTTGTCAAAATTTTATGAAAATTAAACGAGTCAAATTAATTTTAGTCAAGGTGTTTGGTAACACCTTAAGGTGCCCTGAAATAAATAAATACAGGTCTTATAATTTATTTTTATTAAAATATACAATAAAATAAAATATACTTTAAAAATCTATTCCTATGCCATTACAAGTTATATTGAGAACAATGGTAACCAAATTATCCATACTCCTCTCACAAAGTAAAGAAAAATTATGGGGGGGAACTCTTAAAACATTTGTATTCAGTTGCTGATGGCATGTGTCTTCATTTTATTAAAAAAAAAAGAAGGAGAAGTAGGGTAATTATAAGTGAGACAGCATCCCAATGACAAAGAGAGCAAAAAGAAAAATGTTCTTTTCCCTTATATGAGGGTCTGGATTGGGGGGGGGGGGGGGGGGGGGGGTCTTTCATTTCTGTATTCTTTAATTTTTTAGGCCATTTTTCTGTATTCTTTTTAGCACTTGATTATAATCTCTATTCTTTATTTTTTAGGTCAATTTTTTTTTTTTTTTTATTTTTTGCCCATTATTCTCTATTCTGTAACCCCATCCACTCCCTCTTATATAAAAGTATTCAACTATAGACATTTTTCTATACAATAATTCAAATTCTAAATTGTTTTGATTATTATGCATAAGTTTTTATTTTATTATACCCTATATCCTCAGAAACAACAATAACTATAAAACTTTCATTAGAGAGTATTTTGATTTTGCAAACAATTAGTTGTAAAACAGCATTAACTAGAGGTAAAAATAAAAGTGTGCAAGTAATGAAATAAGCTTAAATATACATATTTTTATTAGTTTGTAATAAAGAAAAATAAACTATCCTTTTAAAAATTCAATAAAATAATTAAGTACATACATAACTTTAATCATATATTTTTATCTCCCCCCAGAAACATCAAAATAAACATACATAAATTACTTTCATTTCAATGATAATTGTAGCTAAACTCATCATAGATACCAGGATTAAAATTGTGTACACCAGACGCGCATTTTGTCTATAGATGACTCATCAAGGACGCTTGAATCAAAAAAGTTAAAAAGGCCAAATAAAGTTTGAAGTTGAGGAGCATTGAGGACCCAAAAACCCAAAAGGTTTTGTCATATAGAACAAACTTCTTGGAAGCTAAATAATAATTATAAAAGAGATTTATTTATTTGTATGAATACACTGTGAAGAAATTCTAATTAACATTAACTGTGGTGACTGATAAAATAATCTTCAACATTAGAGGTGAAAGAAAATAATAAACTTTCACATTCAAGATGAAAGATTAACAATCTTTCACATTTGCAATAAACAAATATAAAACTTGTACTATGCATTTGCATTGGTTTTCAAAGATTTTACAACAAATGACAATTTATACTATATTTCTAAAGGAGAAGATCCGGTGAGGGCTAGTTTTGGCCTTATATTCGAAGTACATTTAATGAAAGATTTTTGACATTTTTTAAACACGTAAGTGTCAACTTCAGTCGATTCAATTAGTTTATGTAAAAGATCTGAATTGATTTGGTCATTAGAGATGCTCAATTTCAAGCTTAGTTATGAAAAATCTATCAAAAATGCCATAAAACGTCATTTTTCAGATGTTTTTTGTCTAAAATGGAATGGCTGTATTCGTGTTCAGTCTCAACCTTTATATATGATACGTATTATCACCAAATACAACATATATTTAAATATTAAGACTGAACACAAATGAGGCCACTTCCATTTTAGACAAAAACCGTCTTAAAATTAGTACAAATGCTAAAATTGTGAAGAATTCAGTAATATTGCACGAATTAATGATGCTATTACCTGATGCATGTGCATTGTGTTGTCTAAAACATTTTTATGGAACAGAAGTATTCTACTTACAAATAAATAGCTAAAAGTTTACATTTAAACAAGTTTGTAAAAATGCTATATTTTGGGGCCAAAAAGGGGTCTTACCGGGCCTAGTCCTTTCCCACCCTTCAGCAACAGAAACCACTTACTAAGGATTCATTATTATTATTAGTGGGATAACAATTTTCGTGGGTAAATGTGAATCATGAATTTTAATGTTCAACAAAGTATCAATTTTTTATAGGCTTGTAAGCAGACTTAGGCAAAACGAAATCAAATATCCACGAAAATACAATTTTTATCACTCCACAAAATTGGTACTCACAAAAATAAATTAATCCACAGTATATATGTTATAACATTGAAGTGTTTAATTTCTTCATGATAACACTATATAGTAACCTGTACCATGGGTATAAAGAACACATAGATATTTTGATTGGTACCTAGGATTGATTGATTGTTGGTTGCTTAACGTCCAGTGGCAATTGATACCTATGAACACAAGAACCTGATTAAAATGCTGATGTTATATGGGAGGGATAGAGTTGGTGTATAACATGTATAAATAAGAATTGCTAAAAATATCAAAAATATATACTTTATTTTTTCTATACATCATATAGTTTTAAACACATTTGCATCCATAAATACATGTGTAGATCTAAACTACATGAGATGCAAATTTCTTACTATATACAATATTAGTAATTAAATTTTCTCCAAATCAAAATGTTAATTCATTTGGATTCCAGGTGACTTAACATACAAGTGTTCTATTGACTATGAAAAAATTTAATAGAAATGCTAAATTAAAGACTGCTTTGCACTCTAAAAATTCAGTAAGAGTTAGTAATCTATAAATTATTCTTTTGGTCTTACTTCAAATGTGGATAACTCAATAGTTAGAAGCATTTGAAATTTTGTCTTGTATTTACCTTTTTAATATGGCTTCTAAATAATATCTGTTATAGTAAAAATAAATCTTTAATAACAGACATTTATTACTAGGAATAGGAACATTCTGTAGTAGGGCTGAGAATCTAAAACATTGAGTACCCCATCCTATCATATCTTTTGAATATCTTCATTTCTCAACCTTATCATATATCATGAAGCTGGAAATAGTAACCTATTTCATTGGCTTATCCCTACCAGTTATTACATAGTTAGAGCCTCCTCCCTCCCACTCCCCCATCCCCAAAAAAAATAACCTGCTGTGCTTTCCACATACAAAGTACATGGCAACAGTCTAGGTAAATATCTTTATAATATTCTAATATCAATTCTCCTTCTAAGTACAATACAAATCTTAACTCATGCTATATCTTAGGCCATATACAAATTTAGCTTCACAGGCAAAAATTTTAAGCACCAATGAAGATGCCAATTTTTTGTTCAAAGTTTTTTCCAATATACAACTTTCAAATTTGAAATGGAATAATAAGTGCTGAACACTGTTGAAAAATTTTCATTGACCAGATCACCATCACAAATATCATAATATGGGTACAGAACCAAAATCTGTCAATGCAGTAGGCATTTTGGAATAAACCTACTCTGATGGAAAGGCCAGTAGTATTTGCTAAGGACATAATAATAAATAAACTGAGGTATACATGTATTGTGTAATTGCACTATTCACAAGTCTCTTACACACAGTTCTACACATACAGTAGCAATTGAAATGTTTGAGATCATTTTGTAGATTTTGGTTCATGATATTGATCAGTTTTCATTACTTCATTGCTGCCTTTGGTATTCTTTTGTTTTTACATCCATTCAGGTTACTGTTACAAAATTACTCTGAAAAGATAAATGAAAAATATGTAACTGGAATAAAGTTGAACCAGGAATAATTAATGTGTTGAGGCAAGATAAGTCACTTGCAGAACTGATCAAAATTAAAAAAAGGAGATATATATCAGCTTCACCTGCGGAGATTCTGAAATCTGTTAGGAGTCCTATGCCTACCAAGAAAAAGATCAGTGCCTTCTATATTTATTGTGAATATATAGATTCTACCACCATATCGAATGTGATACTATACACTTGAGATAGTTAAATTTTCAAATTTAAATCGCAACACTCGCTGAGCGTTTTAAATATTTAAAATTTAACTGTCGAGAGTGGATACATATTGTATTGCACAAGATTTGGTGGTGGAATCTGTTTCTCTAATAATTTTTAAACAATATGCAGACAAACTCAATCCTTCTTTTCAAATGATCTGCAAAAAGATGTGTTCTTTCTATGTGACGTCACCAGGCATGGTCACCTTTTTTCATGACGTCACAATAGGAAATTCAGAGGAAAGAAAAAAAATTTGACATCATAATTGAATTTTGACCAATGAAGAACAGAGATCAAAAGAACCATATGTTGATTAAACAGGTCAGTAAAAGAATAAATCGTGTAAGAATTAGAGAAACAAATATACAAAGAATGGTTACTGTAAATTCAGAAATTATTGCGAGGTTTTTATTTATGCGAATAATGCGACTGCATGAGTATCGTAATAATAAGAACTCACATTCTTATATCTGATACATATAACTGTATACAAATTTTCCAGAAATCGCAATAATCAATCTCACATTTTAGTCCATTCTACAAAATTTGCAATAATATCTGAATTTACAGTATTTCGAAAATAGAAAATCCTATTTACATTTTATGACCAGAAAATGGCATAAAATTTGACAAGTTTCAACTAGAATGTATCATATTACACAACTGATAATTATACCATGCTCAAGTGTCCTTTCCAGATCTAGATTCTTTGATTAAAAGAGACTAAGAGTTAATTTGTTTTTTTTTCTACTGGTTTTTAATCGATGTTCTTTTATGTACCTTTTGTTGGTAATGTAATCAAGATTAAAAAGGGGGAGAGTTGAGATTAAAAAATATATCGTTTAACCCCTGTCATCTGTCAAAGAAACTGTCCTAAATCCTGCTTTCTGACCCCCATATAATTTATTCTAAAATAGCATCTTGATTTAAATAGAGCAAACATGATGATGAGGAATCTTGTGTCTAATACATTAAATAACAGGGTCTTTTAAGTGGAAAAGCCTTGATAAACTTAGTCCATCCTGTTGGCATAGAACACTCAAAGCAGAAAAATGAAAGCCCTTCACGAATATATGCCTTTTATACAGGTTCCTTTTACAGCCTTGAGATATTTTAAAAGCACCTTTTGTAAGCAGTCATTTTCAATATCACACCATAAAGATGTATTTTTTTTTAAATCATACCTTTAATAAATTACCAATGTATTTATCTGTAAAACCTGGGATTGCCTTTAAATCTTCATACTGAAAGTAAAAGTTGCTAATAAGTTACAAAAATTGATAATTTCTTCATACTACTAAAAAAAAAAGAGCTATAAACTAGATATTGATGATGCCCCCACCCCCAACCCCCTTCTGCTCTTCCATATGCATGAGTATAGTTGCACACACTTGGCCCAAGACCACAATTAATGACTCCACTTTTTGGTTGTCCACGAATATAGTTCCCTTTAATAATAGTGTATAAACATGTTTAACCCCGCCGCATTTTTGCGCCTGTCCCAAGTCAGGAGCCTCTAGCCTTTGTTAGTCTTGTATTATTTTTAATTTTAGTTTCTTGTGTACAATTTGGAGTTTAGTATGGCGTTCATTATCACTGAACTAGTATATATATTTGTTTAGGGGCCAGCTGAAGGACACCTCCGGGTGCGGGAATTTCTCGCTGCATTGAAGACCTGTTGGTGGCCTTCTGCTGTTGTCTCTTCTGTGGTCGGGTTGTTGTCTCTTTGACACATTCCCTATTTCCATTCTCAATTTTATATTTTCTTTATTTTTTTCTTTCCCTTTTTCATTCATTTCTTAGTTTTTATGGGCAGTCAGGGATATAACTCTATAGGGTTATTACAGAAAAATAACATACATTTGTTATTGTGGACTAAAAAATCAAAGAACTGTGATAACATATGTATGTTACATGTTTCAAAGGGACAATATACATCATTAGTTTAGTTAAAATGTATACAAGTTCTATTGATATTACTATTGTCTTTATGTATACTTAACTATAGAAAGATATACCAGTTCATAGTTTGCCAATTTTGCATAGTACACCTATGTTATTACAGAAAAAGTATGCCTGTAATAACTAAAGGGTGTTATCACAGCTTCTCTGTATCACTCCAAAGCATTTGCTCAGACATACATCATGCTTAATTACAATGTATTTTAATTCATTGTAAGAAATAATGACCAGAGCATGTAATGAGGTTCTGCGCAAGCTTCCCAGTAATTCCCAAGTGTCTCATATAATAAGTTACATTCCTTTAATAACTAAGCCTTGTTATTACAGCTAAGTTTATCCCTTAAAAGCCTTGTCTCATTGATTCACCATGGTTAATCAGAAATGTATTAATTTAATTAAAAAATTAGTTATCAAGGCTATGCATTTAGTTTCTGCGCAAAGTCTCAAGAGTTCCCTAGAGCCCACTATAAATTAAAATATTTTTGATCTATTTTACAAATAACAAACATATGTTATTACAGATTTAGAAAATTTAAGGAATAAAGAGAAGACAACTCATGAAAGTATCTGTAATAACACATTTTTGGATATTGTATTTTAACTGATTTTGATATGGAAAGAGTGATTAGGCCAGTTGCAAAAAGGTAATATTTACAGTTTTCGGAACATCTCTTGACTTGTTCATAGGGGTATGGATGTGTATTGGCTAAATTTGTAAGATGTAAAAGTGCAATCTTTCTGAATGTTGGATATATTTTTGGACTAGTACTGTACATTATGATTACACACACAAAAGATTTGACAAAAAGACTTGGTGCATTTTTTTTAATGAGACAAAACATTTTAAAGAACTAATAGAGGAGTTAATTGTGGTCTGTGGCCACTTTAGATATGACAAACAGTGATATTGAGGTACAACTTGAAATTGTGAAAAATGATACCCCTGCCTGACCATAAGAAATTATAAATTTAACACTACTTATGTTGATCTATCTTTTATTTTTATTCTGAATGTCTACACTTTCAGGACTGAATGTCCAGCCAAAAGGTTTCAACTTTCCAGTTTTAGTAGTCACCAAGTTCAACTTCCCAGCATTGATTAAATATTTGACAATACTAAAACATCTTTTTTATTGCATTAGGGACAGTTAGCTGTAGCTTTAAAACTGTAGGAGACATCTATATCTGGACGGACGAACGGACGGACAAACGGAAGGACAGACAGAGGTAAATTAATTTTGTCGCGGGGGCATAAAAAGTTGCATGTATTGATTTTGCATCATAAACACACTTGCCTCCCACAAAATCATGATATGATAAAGTGAAAAACTAAGTGAGGTGTTTATTTTCGCTTATTTTGCAAATTCATCCTCATGCATATAGTTGATCTTTAAGGCAGATCAGAATCAGAGACAAGAAATACGCAGAAATAAAACCTTGAAAAAAGGTTTTGTACTTGAAATCATGAAATTTTTAAACTCCACAAAAACAAATCACTTTAAAGTAAACCAAGTAAACTTAAAAGTATGTGCCTGTCCCAAGTCAGGAGCCTGTATTTCAGTGGTTGTCAATTGTTTATATGTTATATATTTTTTTTTCGTTCATTTTATGTACATAAATTAGGCCGTTAGTTTTCTCGTTTGAATTGTTTTACATTGTCAATTCGGGGCCTTTTATAGCTGACTGTGCAGTATGGGCTTTGCTCATTGTTGAAGGCCGTACGGTGACCTATAGTTGTTAATTTCTGTGTCATTTGGTCTCTTGTGGAGAGTTGTCTCATTGGCAATCATACCACATCTTCTTTTTTATACAATTCAAGGTATACTCAGTATAAGGACTTGGGTAAAATAAGTCTACATTATCATATAAAAGATTGAATGAACATAGCACCAACTACATGGAAATACTATATTTTTCTTGCACTGGGCATTTTCCTTAAATAGTATGTAATTTTTCTATTTTTTCAGACAAAGAAGGAGCATAATACTTAAGGATGTTCGCTACTCTGTTTCAAAATAACAAGCTTTTCAAAAGACTGTTATAAATTGATAGTATATAAATAAAGGAACTAAAAAAGCAGAAAAAAGTGAAGGGTCCGTGTGCTTGTTTTCGAGATATAGGCCATTGAAAATTTGGCGGGAAATGATTCCCTCTAGAGTTTTCATACACTTAACGTTGGCACCTTTTTTCTTTCAAAAACTATGAAAAAATAACAAGGACTTTATAATATTTTCATATATGGCTTTTTAAACTATATGTTATAAAGTAATGAAAAGAAAAGTTGGGGTTAGCGGGCAAAATTTTTTATGGCATTAAATGGATAAAACCAGAGGATTCCGAATATCTGGCAAAAATTCAAAAGTAAGAGGAGCGAACATCCTTAAACAGTAAATGTCAAACAAATATACAAGGTTTTTGAAAGCAGGTAGAAAACAGTGCTCAAACTCCAGTCTACTTCTTATTTTCTATGCAATAAATAGGAACTTAGCCGTCTAGTTTTGAAGCTTGATATTGCTGATTCACAATTTATTGACAACCCAGCATTTAATCAACTTTACCTGAGCAACTGCTGTATAATCACTGTGTTACTATTTTCCATATGTATAAATCTGCCTCTTCATTTATATCAAATGTATATTTATCCATAGAAAATTTATAAGATTCAAATATTACTGTAAATTCAGAAATTTTTGCATGCTTTTATTAAAGCGATTGTGGAACGATATGCAATAATGGAAATAAACCATTGCAATTTTAGGAAAGCTTGCATAAAAATATCGCTATCAAAATTTATAATGCGAGGTTTTATTTTTGTGACACATATCCAATCACAATTTTTGAAATAAAAAGAAATTGCAGAAAATTCCTAAATTTACAGTAAATATTAGTGTGAGGAAAAAAATTACTCCTTTAAGACTTGATGTTATGTCATTAACATGTATGTAATTTGCTAGTGAAGAAATCTATTCAATGATTCTGACTAATTCAGCATTAGAGAAATGAATCTGCTATTCTTGTATAATGATAACATGCAACATAAATAAATATTCACATAACATGAATTAAACATGATTAAAATTAAATTTTAATGCTTTGATGGGTTCATTCTATTTCTTTCTTCATAAAAGGTTTTTTACAACTTACACTTGAAAATAAACCATAATTTTCTCTCCATTCAAAAATAAGTTTGGCACGTTTGGCTCCAACTGTTTGTAACGTCTGTAAATCTTTCACTGTTGATATGTTAAGCTTTTCTATAAACTCTGTATCTGAAAAATAAGTTAACTCAGCTGTTAGTTACTGACTGATCTAACTATTTTTGAAGGAATATTAATATTTTTCCCAATAAAATACTGCAATTTTCCAGTGAAAAAAATAAACAATATTTCAAATATGTAATAAATCTTGTATTTTCACTGCTCTGACATTAAAAGTAAAAGGTAAAAATTATGACATTGTTCGCAAAGTTGCATCAAAAACAAAATAAGAACGCATTTTAAAAACAGTTCCTTGCATTTTTTTTTATTTGCATAAAAGCTCAATGTAATAAAAAATAATAACTTATACGAGAGTTCAAATACAATAAAAAATTGAATCTTTACCCAAAAAAAGACTGATAATTTATTCATGCACTACAAGTATTCCTAAATTAAGAGTTGTTCAATCCCCGATTCAAAATTCTTTGATATTTGATTTGTTTTTCTATAATTACCCCTTTCCACCAACTAAACAAATGGTTGTATTTTTTTTTATTTCCCCCCATATACTGTACTGTAATCTAAGACAGAAATGAAACAAAAAAATTTCTGATTTTTACAATAAAATAGTTTGTTTTGATCCTTGCAAACTTCTGGTAAAATTGACTGAAATCAGTCATGCCTTAATGTTGGCTATGCTACCGTTATCATAACTCTGTTCTCTATCAGAGACTATCTTAAAATAAAACAGTAAAAAATCATTGATATGTATAATATCATAGATTTCATATTATCTTTCCAGTTGTTTAATATTTTGGTTATCCTGGGTCTTTCAGTGTTATAATTATATGCTGTACCGGTTTTGCTCATTGTTGAAGATTGTCAAGTGACCTGTAGTTGATAACATTTTTGTTCTTTAGCCTTTGCTGAAGTTATCTTCTTAAAGTCGCTCAAGTGTAAAATGTAGGTCAGAGTGATTACTTTTATACAGAATTGTATGGTACTGTTCAAAGGAAATACAATGAAAAAATATCACTGATAAATAAAGTTTTGAAACTTTCAGCAGAATTGATAATTTTCTTCATTTCAATCAAGGATCCAGAAATGTTTTCACACAATTTCTTTCATTTTGAGATGACTTAAAAGCTGGAGCCCTTTTTTCAAAGTATCGAAATTATTCACACTAAATTCAAAGCATCAACGAACTTGTATTGGCTGTTTCATCGCAATTACTTCATGAATTTTCTTATCGTTTTTCTAAAAATGTTCAAGAACAACTTATGGAATGCAACAATTTAAAATTGAAATGATTTTAATGACTCAAAATGGTAAATTTCTTAGGAATCCCAATCTGCCGTTTCCGACAAATAGCTTTCATTTTAGGTCATGACTGGCAAATATGAAATTGTTTCCGGACCCTTGATTTTAATGAACATACTCATTTTCTGTTGTAGCTCTGGATTGAAGTTCTTGGTGTTGGTTGATTCTTCTTTTTTCTTTTCTGTCTTTTCTTCAATGGACTCTAAGAAAGGGCAAAAACACAAATAGTTACTACTGATGCCACATCAATTAAAATCTCACAATTCACTGGACATTTGTAGGGTGAAAGTTGGTACAAATTAATATGTTTTTAAAATTTATATCTAAAGATATAAAAAGCTGTTTTCAAATTAGGAAAAGGGATTCAAAACATCTTTCTGATAAAATTAGAAATAAGGGCTAATTAAGCATTACTCATTTTGGTCTGGGTAATCAGGAAGATGTTTAAATCCCTCTAGATCTTCTACGCACATAATTTTTGTCGAGCCTTCGACTTTTGTCGAAAAAGCGAGACATAGCGATCCTACATTCCGTCGGCGTCGGCCACAAATATTCACTCTGTGGTTAAAGTTTTTGAAATTTTAATAACTTTCTTAAACTATCCTGGATTTCTACCAAACTTGGACGGAAGCTTGTTTATGATCATAAGATAGTATCCAGAAGTACATTTTGTAAAAAAAAATTTCCATTTTTTCCGTATTTTACTTATAAATGGACTTAGTTTTTCTGCCAGGAAACATTACATTCACTCTGTGGTTAAAGTTTTTGAAATTTTAATAACTTTCTTAAACTATCCTGGATTTCTACCAAACTTGGAAAGAATCTTGTTTATGATCATAAGATAGTATCCAGAAGTAAATTTTGTAAAAAAAAAAATCCATTTTTTCCGTATTTTACTTATAAATGGACTTAGTTTTTCTGCCAGTTAACATTACATTCACTCATTTAAAATTTTAACAACTTTCTTAAACTATCCTGGATTTGTACCAAACTTGGACAGAAGCTTGTTTATGATCATAAGATAGTATCCAGAAGTAAAATTTGTAAAAAAAAATCCAGTTTATCCGTATTTAACTTATAAATGGACTTAGTTTTTCTGCCAGTTTACATTACATTCACTGTGTGGTTAAAGTTTTTTTAAATTTTAACAACTTTCTTAAACTATCCTGGATTTGTACCAAACTTGGACAGAAGCTTGTTTATGATTAAAAGCTAGTACATGTATCTAGAAGGAAAATTTGTTAAAATTTTGTTCCATTTTTTCCGTTTTTTACTTATAAATGGACTTTGTTTTTCTTCCAGTTAACATTACATACAGTCTGCAGTTTAAGTTTTTGAAACATTTATTAGATTCATAAACTATCCTGGATTTTACCAAACTTGGACAGAAGCTACTTACAATCAAAAGATAGTATAGAGAGGATATTTTTATTAATTTTTTTCCTCATTTTTGTTGAGCCTGCGATTAACAGCAAAAGTAGGCGAGACACTGGGTTCCGCGGAACCCTTACGAATTTTTTATTTGAATATCCTTATGAATCTCCCCAAAATTGATCTACTTAGAGGCTCTTGATCTGTTTACATTTTATTTAAGAACAGTCCGTATTATAGAACCAGTAAAAAGCATTATATCATTTTTCATAGAAACTAGAAGAAAAAATTATAATAAATTCCAAAATTCTGACTACATATTATTTTTAATCCAAATTCAACAAGCTCTAAAAAACATTTTCTTGTGTAGTTTACAAGTATTAAAAAAAAAAGTATCTTGAAGAAAAAAAAAAAAAAACTGTTATGTTGCCTCTGTTTTTCCACTTCAGGTATCCCATTAAATGTTAATTTAAACCTCTTCCAAAACATATAAAAAACAAGTGTAAAGGTTAAACCTAATTCACTGATTTTCTTGCTTTTCAAGCAATCAATGATGAACAACTAACCTGTTATTTCTATAAATTCTGAGACAGCAGTAGATTTGAACCCCTTTTTGAAGAGTCTGGGCTGAGGTGCGTATAAAGGGGTTTCACTAATACAACTAGCACTTTTTATTTTCTTCAAGTTTTTCCTTGGTCTGTCTTTTATTACAGCAGAATCATCTTTTGTGTTAGTCACATCTAAAAAATAAATGAATAAGAACTATAGTTCACAATCTCAATAATATAAACATTAAATATATATATAAAATATTCAAAATGAATCGTTGACCAAATTAGGAACAAATTTTAATATGAGTTCACTTAATTTTGGAGACCAGTGTAGAGTGAATATTTTATACTATGCCCAATACAAAAAGTAGGCCTCAACCCTAATTATATCAAATAATTAACAGTTTTTTATTAATGCCAAGAATATAGAATATAAACATATGATATGACCTGCATATTTTACTTTTTTTAACTTTTTAGTTCATATTCAAGTTCAAACTTCTCAACAAGCCTAATATGTCTTTGTATAATCTTAAATAATCTTTATATTTTATGATAAAATTGGTTACAATTAAACACAGTGACCTCTCAGTAAAAAATAAATCCGATGATTTCACTCCTCTGACGTCATACAACAATGGGTATTGTCAAGAAATTGTCGATGACGTTGCATCAAACTGAATTGGAAATGCAAAGTAAAGAATATAGTTCCTTATATTTTATACTTTATTTCCATTAAAAAGCCCATGGTCAATTCAATAAAAAGAATAACTAATTGAAGAATTCAAAAATTGAAAAATATTCAACTCATGACCAAACAACACTGAGAATTATAAACTTGATGTGCTATGCACAATCTAGAATGACTATATTGCTAGGTCACTCGTTGAATATTTTTGTATATTTGAATTCTTCGATTGTTTATTTTTTTAAATTTAATTTATACACTTCTAGCAAAGTATTTTCAAATTCCTATTCTATTTTCTGCATTTATTTAAATCACAAATTCAGAGACATTGTTTTCCTAACAAAAATGTTTTTTTAAACATTATATCCCTATAGTGATTAAAATTCTTTCAAAGTAGTTTCCAATAAGAGCTCAACATTTATATTATACATTTACTAAATTTCAGATCTCTACCTTTTAAACGATCATTATCTAGGTCATTGAGTTTACGTTTTGGAGTAACAGGTGGTGTGTTGACAGCTAGTTGTTGTAACTGTTGTTTACTGACTTCCAGATACCCTTTTAGCTGAGTCATCATTTCTTCATTTGGAGGATTTTGTTGACCCTCGGTCATCTTTTTCATCTGTTCTAAGAGGTTCTTCTCTAAATCTTCCAGTCTTCTGTTCACAGTATCTTCTAGTCGTGTTTGTCTTCTTAGTAAAGGACTAGTTAAATAGTTAGAATTAGTAAACCAGTATTCATTCTAAATATTGAAGATAATGGGGACCATTTTGTTTTACGTAAAAGCAAAATTTTCTGATTCCGATTCTATGCTACTTTAATTTATTTATCATGATCTCAGTAATGTTTTGGGACTAGTCTGTACTTAACAACAATGACTTAAAGAATGTAGTTAGGTGAAATTAAAAAAATCTAGAATTCAAAATTGATACTCTTAGTCAGAAGAGAATTAGTAAAGGAACAGAGTACGCTAAAAATATTGATAGGTTATGGAACTCCTTTTTGCGATATTTGATTTTTAAAAAATGGTGAGAAAAGGCTTACTCGGACTTTTACCTTATATTTAGCATTGGCATTATTTGGGTTTCAAATCGTAAGAAAACAAGAATGCGTCCATAGTACACGGATGCCCCGATGCACTATCATTTTCTATGTTCAGTGGACCGTGAAATTGGGGTCAAAACTCTAATTTGGCATTAAAATTAGAAAGAGCATATCATAGGGAACATGTGTACTAATTAGTTTCAAGTTGATTGGACTTCAACTTCATTAAAAACTACCTTGACCAAAAACTTTTACCTGAAAAACTTTTAACCTGAAGCAGGACAGACAGACGAACGAACGGATGAACGAACGGACGCACAGACCGAAAAACATAATGCCCCTAGGTGGGGCATAAAAAATCTAGAATCTGCTTAAATTTTGGTAATGACCTTTTTATGAGCTATTGAAGTCTTCTATAAAAAGAAAAGTGGGTGATATGGGGCAAAATATTTTACCCTGTATCATAGGAAAAACCCCAAGGAGTCCGACGATCTGACAAAAATTCATAAACCTGACCTGAGTACATCCTTAAAGAAACAAAAACACTTGTTTACTAGTCTTCATCAAGTTGTACATGTATATCAACAATACATTTTCTGAAATGTTTTGTATTCATTTTCATTATGTGTAATAGAAAAGAATTGATATGCTCATAACACAAAATCCTATATGTACATGAAAAATTCGAAAACATAGGAACATTGATCACTTCTATTGCAAGTCAAAATGAGGTCTTCAACAGAGAGTAAACATTTAAACCTCATTGCAAGTTCAAGCCTACATCTAGCACAGTTGATCAGTATTTGCTCTTTTTGCAATAATAGGTTTCTTTTTGTGAAAACATATTAACACTAACAATATAAACATAGATATATCCATTAAATACGGCAAGTCACATAATTTTAAAGATGTGTGTGTTTTGAAATTCATTTGAAATTGCAAAAGGAGTTGGTTCACGCACTCACAATTTTGGCTCTTAAAAACTGAAAATTTTGAACTGCGATAATGTTATGAAAATTTAATGAAAACATATGTTAAAATGTCAAATGTTTTCAGTTGAAAAAAGATTTTTATCAATTGCGTCATTAGTGATGTATTTGTGACGTGATAAATGTAAGCATCTTTCTTTCTTTACCACCTGATTTTTGCCATAATTTGGTCAAATCTATAACGGTTTACTGAAAAATTAACAGTGGCACCACCCCTTGCTCACAAATATTTTTGCTGAAATATTTTCTATATTCTTTACAGGGCCATTTATTGGGGTTACTGGCTCGACTCTTCAAGAGTAGCTTAATAGAAAATATTCATTTTTCACCAAAAAAACACTTTCCAAAAGTAAGATTACTTTAGTTCTTGTATAAAAGTGTTATATAATTTTATCAACATTGAAAATAAAATGGATTTAATACTAGTGATTTATTTCTATCATAGTCATCCAAACCCTTGAATTTGACTCTGACATATATACGAAAAATCCCCTCTTCAAGCATGTGGCACTGGTTTACTTTAACAATGTGCAATGGTAAGAAGCAAATTTTCCCTCTTAATTCATGTGATAATACGTCTATATCATAATTTCTTAACAGTGAAGGTCAAAAAAATATTTTGTATGTTGGTATAGGAGTAATGAATTTTTTAACTTCTGTCCAGTTGTTCTTCATTGCATCAAAGGATACAGCCTACTGGAACACAACAGCACAATTGCCAGTAAGTATTTTTGCAGTTTTACCATTTCATGGCATGTATTTATATGAAGGTGAAGTCAAAATAAGAATGTGATTCATGTATATATACCTAAGGAACGGAGCAGGATCCATCATTTGAGGCGGTTTATCTGGTTCTTTGGCGGTAAGTCTTGGCTTTTTAGCTGGTACTGGGTCCTGTTCTGGTATCATTGGAGTTTTGTGTGCCAGTATTTCATTTCTTGGTGCTACAAAAGGTAGGATATAAAAAAAAAATCTCATAAAAAGTGTAGTTTTACATTACTATAAAATAATTGTCCAAAATCAAAAAGTCTGAAATTATAAATACTTTTTGGTTTTTGTTTCAAATGTTCTTCTAAGAGTCAACTATTTCTAGACTTTTTTTCTACAGGAAGTTTTCAACTTTAAGTTAATGATTTAGATTTTTTCTTAAACTTTAAAACAAGAATTCACACCATTGGCATGCATTTATTTGCTTATAAACATCAGTTTTATTCTACTTTATTGTAATAATATTTTTAATCAAAACTAAAAAAAAAGTTTATAGCTATAAATATAAAATATAAAAAGTTTGATTTATGAAAGGAAAGTTCACTCCAATATTTAATGTCACGATACTGTATATCTAATTGTGATGCACAAGTTAAAAGCCATTCAGTGGTTGTCGTTGGTTCATGTCTGTCATATTTATTTTTCTTTATAATAATTCTTACAAAACGAACCTTTGCATATCCTTTACCCTAAAAAAAGCTACATAACATAATGGTTTAATCAACACTCTTCAAACAGCATGATATAAACCATATTTTGGCACAAAATTACAAAAATTAAATTATAGGCACCTTTCTATAATTTCTTTTATATTTTCTGACATTTCAAATTTTTTTTTTTCGTGGTATTTAATAAAGACGACAAAATGTTTAATTTGACAATTCCCACTTGTGTGTTTTTTTTTCTTTCAAATAAACTAATATTATTTAAAGATCACAAAAAGAACACAAAGATTGAATAGTGGTGTAAACAGTAATTTGAATATTACTTAATAGTAATTCTGGATAACAGAAGATAATATTTAGTATATATACAAATTCACTTTTTCCAAGGTAACTTACCAACTGTTTCCCTGTCAATTTTATTGCTTGTTTTTCCTACTAACTTTATATCTACGGTTTCTTGGTAACTTACTAACTGTTTCCCTGTCAATTTTATTGCTTGTTTTTCCTACTAACTTTTTACCTACTGTTTCTTGATAACTTACCAACTGTTTCCCTGGTTACTGTACTGTTAACAATCTTTTTACTTTTACTGGCAAAGTTAAGTGTACAATATGTATCATAATAATATCTCTCCTCAGGTGCTATGTTAGTTATCATAACTGAATGACAGCTACCTCCTATAGAATCCTGTAAATCAAACCAAAATAAATTCTACTGTTGCAGGCCTTTAGCAGGGGGGGTTCCAAGGGTTCCCCTTGAAAACAAATAAACACTATTAAAGTCGACGTTTTGTTTGAACTGTGACTATTAAAGTTCAGATTTCATTTTACCTGCGAGTCACTGTAACCCCACCCCCCTTGAAATTCCTGGCTATGGGCCTGTGTTGTTTATCACTACTTATCATTTTTCTTTTTACTGTACACACTATTGGCCAAAAAGAAAAATAGAAAAAAAGGTGCTTGCAGTAATAAGGCTGTTCCATAAAAACATAGATGGGACCTTGGGAAGGCAATTTTTTCAGCCCAATTCAAATGTTATATGATTCAAATTTAACAACACAAATTGTGTCTGTGCCAGACCACCCGTAGATAGTTCCTTTTTCGCTTGTGATGGCAAAAATGGAACTCACTAATGTTTAGAATTGATTTATCTGTATTATTGAAAGATTATAACAAAAAACAGGAGTATGTGTCCATATGACACAATGCCCATCTCACACTTTAATACACATGTCCAATAAACTGGACACATCTTGGATCATCTTGGTCAAATCTCTAATTTGGCATAAATTTCAAACAGCTCATTCGCCCTGAATATGCATGAAATATTTGCCACTGGACATTAAGCAACCAACAATCAATCAATTGAAAAACTCATAGTCAAAGTTAAAGTCATCCCTTTAAAAAAATTTACCAATGCCATCACGAGTTGGTTGACCATTATGAAATATCTATTTCACAGATGACAACAGATATGTTCCAAAGGTTGTAACCAAAGTTCCATACTCTTTTCCTCAAAGATGACCTTCCGAATTAGACAGTTCACAGGGTTTGTACTTTTATGAGCCACAGGACGGTTGCAAAACATGGAGCAGGATTTGCCTACCCTTCAGGAGCACCTTAGATCACCCCCTGGTATTTGGTTGGGTTCGTGTTGCTCAGTCTTTAGTTTTCTAAGTTTTGTTTTGTATACTGTTGTTTGTCTTTTGGTCATTTTTTATTTATTTTTTGTCATGGCATTGTCAATTCGTTTTCAATTTATGAGTTTGACTGTCCCTTTGGTATCTTCTGACTCTCCTTCATAATGAAGATTTGATGTATTACACATTATATATTGAAAAAGACTTCACATATGATATTACGTTTCAATAATAAAAGTGGCTTATCCAACCAACCTGTAACAATCTAGTCAGCTTACTATTTCTGTATGGTATTCTAGGCTGAAATAGAATATAATATAAATGTATAATTAAAAGTTGTCTTTTGTTACTAGAATAGGGAATGTGTCAAAGAGACAACAACCCAACCAAACAGCAGAAAACAGCCCAAGGCCACCAAGGGCCAGGGGGTCTTTAATGCAGCAAGAAAATCCCACTCCCAAAGTCCAGCTTCCAGCTGGCACCCTAAATAACTCTATACAACACAACAGACTTCTGATACTGCATTCATTAAAATGATTCCACTGAATCCATTGAATCCACTGCATCCATTGAATCCACTGCATCCCTTGAATCCACTGAATTCATTGAATCCACTGAATCCATTGAATTCATTGTATTCATAGTATTATATGTAGTTAGAACAATACTACAATTAAATGTCTAAAAAGTTCCATAACAAAAAAGGTCATTTGTATGATGTTCTTGATTTGTAAAGATTTAAAAAAATAATAATTTCTATGACTTCAGGTACAAATGAACATAACAATACTTAAAATGAAAGACTTTGCTTTCTGTAATCAGTTTCACAAAAAATCTTACAACTCAATTTGATCATAAGTCATGAAATTGATCATTGAATACACAGGTATACATTCAATTACTTCTTTTTTTCATTTTATATTCATATTTGTATCAAGAAATAAAAGAAACATACCAAGCAACAGTTAATAGCATCAACAACCTCTCCTAATACAAACAGGGATTTGTTGATGGCACCACTTTCCTTCAGCCTGGAAAAAAAAAGTATTTAACATTAGAGGATTGTATCTTTACATAGAGCTATTATGAGTATTTAGAAAGAGAATAGAATGTGGAAAATATAAGGATCAATATGTAACATGTGAAAAGGCGTAAAGGACTTTCACAACTCATGGTCTATAAAATTGTTATTTTGTAATTACAAAAGTTGATCACTATATTTTCAGACATTTTTCTAAGTTCATTAGGTTTAATAAATCCTGTCAGAAACTTAATTTTTCAAATGCTTATATTTCGGACACAAACATACTACTATCAATATATTTTTTCATGGTTTGATGTATTGCACATTATCATTTATAATGAATAATTTTTTATTTTTATTTTAATTTTTGATTTTGTGTACGCCATAGTATAAACAAGGAAATCAATCAAATTATGGGGGATATTAAGCTCTTAAAACTGAAAAACTGAAATAAAACTTCATCATATTTTCTTTTCATTCTTCTTTACCTAATTCCTTTATTTCCTGTCCGCCTGTTGTCTTCTGACCCAGCCAAGTCAATAAGATAGATTTTACCATGAAGAGTTTTATATGGTGCTGCTTTCTGTGTTCGTTTTATTTTCAGCAGCAGTATGCTATGACTACGGCTGGAACGTTCATTTAACTTGGTTGCAGCTACAGTTCTGAAAAAGTATAAAAATAAGAATTATGCAATTTTCAATACATGTAACATTAATGTATATATATATATCGAGAGAGAGAGTAAATTGGGACATTTGCTTGAAGTAATATTCAGGTTTACATGATGCCTAAGATGAAAATGTCCAAAAATTAAACACACCAAAATTAATAAAATTGAGAATGGAAATGGGGAATGTGTCAAAGAGACAACAACCCAACGAAAGAGCTGAAAACAGCCCAAGGTCACCAATGGGTCTTCAATGTGGAGGCGGGCTTCAGCTGGCCCCTAAACAAAAGTGTGTACTAGTTCAGTGAAAATGGACGTCACACTAAACTCCGAAACATATAAATGAACTAAAACATGTATCAAAATGACCAGTGGAAGATTTTAGATAATCATGATTAGATTATAATATCAATGATAAAGATTAATTTATACAATTACCCAATATACAACTTAATTCAATGAGAAAAAAAACCACTAACACTAATTAATAATTAGAAGTGTCAACATACAAATGTTGAAACAGTGAAATTATAACGTTTATTCGATTACCAGAATAACAACACTTGAATTTACAATATGTAACTCCAATAGATATACCCTCAGTTTTTGTTGTATAAATCTCAAATTATTGTGATCAACTATATATTAATGCTCAGATTTTAAAATTCCTTTCAATAGTGTTTGTCTCTAATGACTTTGTTTTTTGTTCTATTATATTTATTAAAACAATATTAATTCATATTTTGAATTGATCTTTGTAGGCAAGGGTTGTTAATTTGTTGGTTAACAGACTTTCAATGCATTCTTATCTACGCTGAACAAAATACAAATAGAATAACCATACATTGTCTCGAAATATAAATTCTATTTGTACAAGGCTTAGAAACAGGTAAAAGCGAGGTTTTGCCGGGCATTTCTATCCTGTTTTGAGTCTAGTACAAATGAAATTTATTTTTCGAAACAATTTATGGTTATTCTTTATATACTGCAACTCCTACAACTGTTCCAAATAAAATATTTAGGGTAAAAACCATCATTTTTAAATTTGGAGCGGACGACGTAAAATTTCCATATACCTGTATTGTTTATTGACGTTATAAAAAAAAATCTACGGAAACGCATTGTCAATGTCATAAGCAAGGTGAAATAGGGTCAGTGACTGTATATCACAAATGAATATACAGTCAATGCAATTTGACTACGCAAATAGCACAGCTACAGTATATATTATCCTATTATCACTGTTTTTTTATCTTTGTAATTTTCAGCAAAGTGATAAATTAACCTGTTATTTGATGCTGGTCCAAAGAAAGTTTTAAATTCATCAAAACTATGTATCTCTTTCTCTGCCAGACCTGGTATTAAGATATTTTTCTCAGTATCCTCCCTGATAGGTAAATCTGTATCTTTTGGATCCAGTAAGTCCATAACCTGAAAAAATATTCAACATACACAAATTTACAGTAACACCAGACTGAAACAGATGAGATATCAGCTGACATATTACTAGTCTTCATATTAAACTAGACTGACTTGTTTGACACTGTGGCTTAGGTCAAAATAAATATATGAATAACTGCATATATATATATACATGAATAAACAAAAAAATGTAAATGATATTAAAAGTAAATACTGTACATGTATTAATAAAACAAATTCTATTCATTGTATATATATATGGAATTCTAAAATACTGATTGCACATCCTGCCCAACCAAACAAATCACTCTATTTAGCATGGGTTTTACTATAGAATTGGAGAAGTCCAAGAGATCATATTTCTATACTGTAGTTAGTCTTATGATTGAAAAGCACTGCAATAATCTAAAAGAAAATAACAAAATGAAATGAACTATTTCTCAGTTATTTGTTAAATTACAAATTGTGATTAAAGTGAGAAAGGAAAAGAAGGTAATTGAAAAAAAATTCGTAAGGGTTCCGCGGAACCCAGTGTCTCGCCTACTTTTTCTGTTAATCGCAGGCTCAACAAAAATGAGGAAGTAAATCAATAAAAATATTCCTCTTGATACTATCTTTTGATTGTAAGAAGCTTCTGTCCAAGTTTGGTAAAAATCCAGGATAGTTTATGAATCTAATAAATGTTTAAAAACTTTAACTGCAGACTGAATGTAATGTTAACTGGAAGAAAAAAAAAAAATCCTTCTAGATACTAGCATTTGACCATAAACAAGCTTCTGTCCAAGTTTGGTACAAATCCAAAATAGTATAAGAAAGTTATTAAAATTTTAAAAAATTTAACCACAGAGTGAATGTGTTGAATCCTGGCAGAAAATCTAAGTCCATTTAAAAGTAAAATACTGAAAAAATGGATTTATTTTTTTACAAAATTTCCTTCTAGATACTAGCTTTTGATCATAAACAAGCTTCTGTCCAAGTTTGGTACAAATCCAAAATAGTATAAGAAAGTTATTAAAATTTTAAAAACTTTAACCACAGAGTGAATGTGTTGTTTCCTGGCAGAAAATCTAAGTCCATTTAAAAGTAAAATAAGGAAAAAATGGATTTTTTTTTTTACAAAATTTACTTCTGGATACTATCTTATGATCATAAACAAGCTTCTGTCCAAGTCTGGTAGAAACCCAGGATAGTTTAAGAAAGTTATTAAAATTTTAAAAACTTTAACCACAGAGTGAATGTAATATTTCCTGGCAGAAAAACTAAGTCCATTTATAAGTAAAATACGGAAAAAATGGAATTTTATTTTTACAAATTTTACTTCTGGATACTATCTTATGATCATAAACAAGCTTCTGTCCAAGTTTGGTAGAAATCCAGGATAGTTTAAGAAAGTTATTAAAATTTCAAAAACTTTAACCACAGAGTGAATATTTGTGGACGCCGACGACGACGACGGAATGTAGGATCGCTATGTCTCGCTTTTTCGACTAAAGTCGAAGGCTCGACAAAAATTCCATGCTGGGTAGCCAAAGTTTGAAAGTGGTGATAATAAATTTGCTAAAACTTAGGGTAAACACTGCTATAAATGATAAAAACATCCAAGATATTTTGCAGAATACAAGGTCAATTTTGGTTATTATTATTTAAGAATTCTATAAACAGTCAGGGGACTTACTTAAATGAGTGATTTTCTAAATCACTGATTCAAGTAACATTATGTCCATAAAAGGTTGGAAGTAAGAGTTGTCTTTCTTTAATAATCACCTATTTAAGTAGTACAAATTAATCACTAGACTAAGTGATTTAATTTTATTGTAGCTTTAAATATAGAATACTAATGATCCAGGGACTAATTATGTTGCTAAAATTATCAGAACCAACATCTGTGTTGATAGGATGACCGGGTCATGTCAGGTGATGACCTTGTACTAAATCTAGGATAATGACAAAAATCACTTGTTTAAGTATCATACCTCAATTTCCTTCCAAAAAATCATTCTTCTTTAAGTATCATTATTTTGATAACCCCCGCTTATTTCAACACCCCCGAACAGTGAAATTTTGATCACGAACTAGAATTTTATTACATAATCTATAAGATGAAACCTTGAATTTTACAGGAAAAATACTCCCACTGCTGTGAAAAATCTGTTAAGAAAGTATCAGTTCATTATGTAAAGCCTTTGTTATAGCATTTTTTCAACTAAAATAGAATTTGCAGCTAAATGATTGCATCAAAGGCATAAACCTTGCTGCTTAAAAGAGGCAAAAAGTTCATTTTTTTTCAATTTTACGGATGAAAAGATATTATCTAAACCTACAGTGTATGTGTTTAAAATTCTGGTAAAACTACAGAATCACAATTTGTAACAAAACTTCGAATTTGCTACTTAAATAAGTGATTTAAAAATCACTTATTTCAATAAGTCCCCTGACTGATAAAATCAAGAGTTATGTTTTACAAACCTTTTCGTTGTAGATTTCTAAATAAGAGAACTTAACACTTTCAGACCATTCCATTGTATCTGTCTTCTTCTGTTCCTTAATTAAATGGAAGATTCCATTTATTACACGAGGGATGACTCCTGGATCAGTTGCTGAACCAAGCATGGTGTGGGTTTTACCTGTAGAAACATTATAAATTGTAAAGTATTTTGTTTCTTGATCTGAACTATAACAAATATGTTCAATAGGTTTCATCTTACTTAACATTAAAATTGCAAAATTTCATACAAGCAACATGCTCACATGAATTATTTTGTACATTTACACAATATCATATTCCTAATACATGTGTATGACATTCATGACAGTATTATCTGTAAATATGAAGCACAATAGTTAACCTGTGCCTTTTGGTGCGATTGGTAGAGGGTAAAAATGGGGTATCCCACATGATGAATTATGGTAATATATTTGTTAAAATAACGTTAACGATAATAAATTTACTCCATTTGACACTAAGGGTAGCTACAAAATGAGATTTGACAAATGAAGATATAAAATTAAGGCTCATTTGATGCTAACGGTAGCGAAAAACGGACGTTTGATGATAAAGGGTAGTCCTTCCCGCTAGGTATTGCTCAATTTTAGTTTTTTGTGTAGTGTTTTGTCTCTTTCTTATCATTATCAGTGATTTTGCTAGCGCTCATCATTTTCATCATTTACGAAGTATGCCTTAGTCCTTCAAAGTCTGACAAAGATGTATAGATAGTAATATACATCCTAGGTCCCTTGCTGCTAACCAAAATAAGGTTGATTTTCATCCCGCACAAAAGTGACTAAAGCCCTCAAAATCCTAGCTTAAACCCTGTCATTATGATTACCTCCCCCTACTTTTTACTTTTTATTATTTGTACATTGTTTTTTTCTTTATAATATCTACCCTACTGCACAGAAAACATTTAGAATATCTTCTAGCCCTGTACATGTTTTAAAATAATAGTGGCAACAGATTTTTAAACAACCAACAATTAATCTGACAGGATTGACATAAAAAATAGTTTACTTCATTCAAATTTAAAACCAGAGATATACAGTGCATAATCAGCAGAAAAGGTAATTTATACTGTAACTGCTATTTGCCGTCAAATTGCACAGACCGTATCTAACCCTTGTTTGTGACGTTAACGTTGATAATGTGTTTCTGTCAAGTTTTATTTATTACATCAATAAAAGATTACAGATTCAAATAATTTTTACACCCTCCGCTTCAAATTCAAAATATATGGTTTTTACTCAATAGATTTCATTTGAAACAGTTGCTAGGAGTTGCAGTAAAAAGAGAACAACCATACATTGTCTTGAACATGTTAAATAAAAATGTTCTTGTACTAGACTCAAAAGAGGATAGAAATTCTCTGCAAAGCCTTACATTCTGATCTTATTAATGCGAATAATGCAACTGAGTGACGATCGGAATAATAAGAACTCACATTCTGATATCTTAATGCAGATTTTCCTGAAATCGCAATAAGAAATGCATGCAATATTATCTGAATTTACTGTTTATGATACTTGAAGTTCAAATATTTTGTATGTTACCTGCACCAGTTGGTCCATAGGCAAAGATGGAAACATTCTGTCCGTTGAGTGAATGAAGCAGTTGTGGCTTGACACATTCTTGATAGATTGTCTGCTGGTGTGTATTTATGTCATATACAGCTGAAAAACTGAACAAAAGGTACTTAAATTATAAACAATTTCTTACCTTATATAATTACTCATAATACATTGTTTACTACTAATACATGACTTGACGCATTCTTAGTATATATATATATATAGCATGTGTTCATTGTTCATAACTATAAAATGAACACAATGTACTTTACTTTTATAATAATCACAATCTTGTTCAAAATATAAGTTGATCCATATGTTTAGTGTGGCATCCATTTCGCTGAACTAGTATACATTATTGTTTAGGGGCCAGCTGAAGCCCGCCTCCAGGTGCAAGATTTTCTCGCTGTGTTGAAGACCCATTGGTGGCTATCGGCTGTTTTCTGCTGTTTGGTAGGGTTGTTGACTTTTTGACACATTCCCCGTTTCCATTCTCAATTCTATTGGTATTTTTATCAAACAAAAAAATATCAGTAAAGAATTCATGTATACCCGGGTAGTTAAAAACTGTGTCTTGGAATTTCTGCAGCAGCAACTCATACAATCATTGTCTGATCAACTAATTATCATTTCTTAATTTTCAAGATGTTTAAGGCCATAAAAAAGAATATGCTTGTTTGCCCTAACCCTACCTGCCCAGAAAATAGCTGCCTACTCATAATCTTTTATTGTCCTGAAGTGAAATTTGTTTTTTTTTAATCAGATAGGCATGAAGACTAAAAAACATCTGACACTTCAATTTCTCTCTGCTGAAAAAAAAAAGAAAATGCCTACCTACCTACCCACTATCTCTACCTTTGGGTAGGGTTTGGGCAAACCAAAATATTTTTTAAGTGTGGCCTGAGATAACAAGAATGCTTGCTTTGTAGATGGCAGTGCAAAGGATACCCCCACTCGTAATTCAATTATCGAAAAATAAGAAGAAGTGTCTGACAGATCTTTTAAACGTTACAGCTCATTACTACCATGCTGCTGACTAAATATGGAGTCATTCACTTCACTAGTTCTTGAGAAGAGTGTGATGAAAATTGTTATAAGTTCTTTCAACATATTGAAAAAATCTAACTTTGAAGAATCTGCAAATAAGAATTTGATGTTTGATATATCTATATAAAGAAGCCTTCTTTTATTTCTGACTTAAAGAAGTCAAAATATGTAATCTCCTCATTTTCATATCATGATAAAATATAAAGTGAGAAAATTACAGACTTATAAAAATAAGAAGATGTGGTATGATTGCCAATGAGATAAATCGCCACAAGAGACCAAATAACACAGAAATTAACAACTATAGGTCACCATAAGGCCTTCAACAATGAGCAAAGCCCATACCACATAGTCAGCTATAAAAGGCCCAAAAAAGATCAATCTGTGTTACATAAAACAGAATGAAGACACTTTATTTGAATTTGTGGCCAAATTACCTCACCTATCAGTCAAGGGTCTAACTTAAATAAGTTATTAGAGAAAAATAACATACATTTGTTATTGAGGGCTAAAAAATAAAAAATCTGTGATAACATATGTATGTTACATGTTTCAAAGGGGCATTATATATCCTTTATTTTGTTAAATTGTGTACTAGTTCTATTGATATTATAATTGTCTTTATGTATATTAAACTTTAGAAAGATACATCAGCCCATAGTTTGCCAATCATGCATAACACACCCATGTTATTACAGAAAAAATATGCCTGTAATAACTAAAGAGTGTTATTACAGCTTCTCCACATCTCTTCAAAGCCTTTTCTCCTACATATATCACAACGTATTTTAATTAATTGTAATAAATAATGATAAGAGCATGTAATGAGGTTCTGCGCAAGCTTCCTAGTCATTCACAAGTGTCTCATGTAATAAGTTAAATGCCTGTAATAACTAAGCCTTGTTATTACAGCTAAGTTATCACTTAAAAGCCTTGTCTCATTGATTTACCATGGTTGATCAAAAATGTATTAATTGAATTGGAAAATTAGTTTTCAAGGTTATGTATTAAGTTACTGCGCAAGTTTCAAGAATTCCCAAGTGCCAACTCAAAATAAAAAATTTTATGGTACATTTAACTGAACAGTGTTTTCCCTAGGCTGTTCAAGCATTGCGGTACCGCTACGCATAAATTTCGACCGCCATGCTTTCATCATTGCCGCAATGCATCCCGCTATGTGTGAAAATTATAACTGTGTAAAATATTTATTATCGATTTTGAAAGTGAAGTGACAAGTGACAACACTCCACATGTGTTTTAAACTCATCCGACTGATAATTGGATGCATCACGTCGCGCGTGCCGGGATTTTACAACCTTCTTGATTAGTTGGTTACATATCGAGACTTCGGTTACATAATAGAAGTGGCCAGTTAGCTGATAAATAAATAGTCAGATTAATCTCCAATGCATATCTTTCTGTGCTAAATAAAAAGTTTAACCTTTTCCAGTATAAATTTCACCTTAAAACGGGTGTTTGACATCGTTATTTTACTGTGATCTTTAAAAAGTAGAAATTTAAAATTTGGTATAGTACTCTGGTATTATAAAATAAAACTAACGTAATTTCACCGAGAATGGACAAAACTTTTGTTTTAATAAAGTTTCGCAGTTTTTTCATCAGCTATATTTACATCAATGAATTATTTTTTGATTGGTCACAACAATCAGTTATTTTTAGATTAGTCGCGGTTGATTGATTATATCAAAGAATACACATCACCGCCAACGGGCCGAGAAAAAGACGTGTCTTATGAAATATTTAAAAGATTTGATAGAAAAACTTTCAAAACATACGTAGTTATTTATGGAAATATTGTTTTTAAAAAACTTGTGTTGTTCTACTTTTATTTGAATGGGTCACATGAAGCTTAAGTGTAGCGGATTCATTTGCCGTTTTTTACACAAGTGGGGCTAAATTTCTTTCACTTCGGCAAGATAGGTTTTTTACAATTACGAAGCGTTATAAATAAATCGGTCAGGGATGTATTTAAAAAAAATAGTTACAAATTGTCATGAAATAAAATGTCAGCTTAGCTTCCAAACAATGTCATCCATATGTCCGTATGTCAGGTATTCTTTATTGACGACTTCTGTAATTAACACAATAAACTTTGTTTTATTGTTTCCTGTAAAATCACTGTGAAGCAATGATGACATTCAAAGTTTTATTTAACAACTTGCTGTTGATGCTGAAACCATTCTATCAGCAAACTGAGGACACTGTTAGTGAAAGAATGTAAAGACATGACATTTAGGCAGAAAATGAACAAAGTTGCCAGGCTTGGAACTTTGTATCCTTGTCTGTCTAAGTATGCAGTATTGAGTCTTCCATTGCCAGTTTCAACAGCTTAATGCTTAATGCATATATCAATTGAAGGACCAAAGGAGGAAGATTTTGATTTTGAAAAATGTGTGGTGACCTTTGGAAAGTTGAAACAGAGGAAGATATCAACAAAATAATGTGTAGGCCTACATGGCATTATTTTGTAAATAACTATTGCAGACTGGATTATTTTTATTATTGTTTATAAAGTCTTCCTCTCATCTGTAATAAATACTTTAAAGTTCCATGACAGACTTATATGAATTGCTGTACCTATAAGAAAACAATTAGATTGGTATATGGCTTTAAACAAATAAATTATAAATTATGTAGTGTTACTAATTCTGGAAAAAGAAGTGTCGCGCACCGCGTTGCAAATTCACCATGGACCCACCATGCATGAAAAATTTTCTAGGGAAGACACTGTAACAAACATATGTTACTACAGATTAAAAGAAAGTATCCGTAATAACACATGTATGTTATTTTTCTCTAATAACTTATTCAAGTTACAAATGTACACCCTTGACTGCCTATGACAACAAAAAATCTAAGAATCTACAAGGAACTCAGCTATCTATGGTCATCTATAAGTAATGATATGACTAAATTTTTTTTACCTCACATCTAAGTTTGTTTCATTTTTTAGTGGTTACCAATCATTCAATCATTTCAATAGTTCCATTAGCAATGATTAGAAAGCGAATAAATATTGTCTCTGGTTTTTTTTAGACCCTCTCTCATATTTTTCTTTAGAAGTACTAGTGCTGCCTAACAATGTTGTCACAATTTCATGACTGTTCATAATATTGTTGGGTTACTGTCTAAAAGGTTTAACCTACTTCTAAGATGTTCCTACAAGAAGTATGCATGCATTTTTACTCACTCATATTTGATGTTTTCATTGACATTTCTGTGGTTAAATATCTCTACAGATTTCCCATCCACAAACACACAACTTTTGTCATCTGTTTTTAAGGCTGGTCTTAACCTTACAACTACATTTACTTTTGTCTGTTTTTTATTCATGGTTCAACTGAAAAAAAAATTTATCATGTATACATGTAATTTACCACAAACATGCATCTGGGTTACCAGTACTGTAACTAAGCCAGGTACATAATTCCTAGACTCATCATTTTCTGAACTAGTAAGTCCAAAGTCATGCATCAGATTTGTACAATATTGTATCGGCTGAGCCTGGAATCTCCTTTCTAGGTATAAAAACATGAATTTAGAATTTGTTGTTGATATAAAGAAGTTCAGTAAATCTACAAATAACAATTCAAGCTTATTTGTATACGAAGCAGGCTTTATTAGCTCAATTTAATACAAATTATCTCCCTTTTGACACTTTACAAATGAAATTTCAATTACTGCCTTTATACTTGTACACGTAAGAGGTGGAGTCTAAAACATCTGTATCCATCATGTCTATATGACTACATGGATACCAATACTGGCTTTAATACAATGGAAGAGAGTGTGCCGTCGGTTTATTGGCAGTGCATGAGAGCAGTTTTGAAGCTCTCAAAGCTCAGTGTGCAGACTAGTGTCTTCAAGGTGGTTCCATTCGATGACTGTTTTCACAAAGAATGAGTTTGAATGTTGTGGTGTTTTGCTAGATTGAATTAAAACACTTTGTGTTGTTCTTTACTTGTTTTTCCACATGTATAATACACCTTATCGCTATTTGTCTGCCATTACTGGACATCACAAAGGTTCCCGTAAAATTTTGACGTCATATAAATAGAAAATGTCTAGATTTGACGCCACAAAGGAAAAGTGTCTGTTGTATGACTTTAATAGTTCAAGTGGCCCAGGTTCTCAGGTCAAGTGAAGCAGATTCCCAAATAGTGATAAGGTCTATAGTATACTTATTCTTATGAAAATGGCACAGGCACTTGTTTCTATCCATGGGAAATTCAAAGGTCAACTATCCATATGTATTTGGATAGTCGACCTTTACATGGATAGAAACAAGAGCCTGTGCTTCTATTACATATTGATAGTCGACCTTTACCATGGATCAAATCAAGTGCCTGTGGGCTAAGGGGGTATACAATTTGAGTGAAAACTGAGACTACTATAATACTGTTATAGTAGTCTCAGCCTCAGGTGAAAATGAAAATGTTTGGGTTTTTTTTGTGATGACCAGGTTGATTATAATGCAAATTAAAAATGCATATTTCATATTGCATGATGGCAACATTTGTTGTCCTGCATCAGGATGCATGGCTAATTTTTATAAGTGTTTTAAAGGTATTTAAAGAATATGTTCCTCACAATGTTTTGGATCTTGTATCTGTATTTTGAACTTCCCTCGCTTCCGGTTGGCCTAACCAATCAAATTCGGCTAAAAGATTCTTGGCCGTTTTCATATCCTCGTAGTGTCATCCGAGAAATTCCGAAAGATTTGTTTATTTGCGGGAAGTTGAGACTTGACTTCAACATAATTTCAAGCCTCTAATTTCTTATAATATCTATAGGTAAATTATATTATGTTTCGTTAGATATGTAGTAAGAATTACAAATTAAACTTGAAAATAATGATTCAAATAAAGATTCATGAATGAAAAGAGATTATGCAAACACAAACGTTAATGCAGAGACATATATATACATGTCTCTGGTTATAAACGTAATAACAAAAAGTTAGCTGATGAAGCACAGGCACTTGTTTCCATAATATCAGTGTTCTCCCCAGGGCCATAAAGGACCGCGGGCCCGCGATGTATATTTTTTTACCGTGGTGGTATCGTTCTTACCGCGATGTATTATATTTCTCCGTGGTGCTAAAATTTTTAGTTAAAAAATCGAAAATCGGTAAAGTTTTAAACGACTTGTTAAATCTTTTCCGTGCGGTATAAAATTCCAGGTGAAATTTGACCAGTTCAAACCAGTTCAGATTGTTTACACCACGTGATTGATTTAACTTTATGAGGTTAACCTTTATTGATTGGATTTAATCAATGTAATTAACACTTGTAAAATGATTCTTTTGTGTTTTAATTAAGAGGTCATAACTTTATGATCGTAGATAACTATTTTATGGCTTCACTCACCCAATGACAAGTCGGCAAATACTTTGTACACAAACCGTGTTGACCCGATAGTTGTACACACGACGGTACACATTTTGTACATTATAAAGTTGGCTCATTACATATAATTGACCATTATACACTTCTCAATACTTATATAATAGTATTATATGTATCTGATTAAACCATGGCCAAATTATCTTCAATTTTGACATAGTTTATATTGCATGATATTCCGGTTTCAAACTATCATAGTATCTGTCAACAAGTAATTCAAAGGGGACGGATCACATGACCCAGTTAGTTAACATAGAATACCCAAGATTATTTACAATTAACTGCAATCTATTCTATTTTATAAATAAAATGCATGACTGTACCTTCAAACTGGATATCTATATCCATATGATAAGTAATGAATAACAGAAGTGATTTGCAAATTTTATCCATAAGCACATGTTAAATCTATTTATATCTACTTCCTGTCATTTAGGCGGGAAAATAGGGAGACTTAGTTGTTGACATTGAATTATACTTATAGATCTATAGAACTAGGATAAATTTATAGATTTAGGAATTCTTTTTAAATGGATCATGACAAAAAAAGATTTAGATTTCAGTGCAGTATTAAGTCTGTATCTATGTTTGATTATCACTAAAGACAAGAAAAGTTAATATTTACATGAAATCTAAGGCAAAATGTTTTGAAATTTATTAAAAATTTCTGTTTATTAAAATTTAAGATAGAAACTGGTTCAAATAATAATATAATATTTATTCTTGTTAATTTTATATCTCCTTATGACAGGAATCCTTTCACAATACAACATCTTTCATTCTAGAAATAAGAAAGTTTTTTAAATTGAACATTTTTGTTCTCTTTTGAATGATAATTTTTTCTTATTGATTATTGATTTTATAAAAGATTTAATAACTTTAAATTTAGATGAATATTTTGTAATGTATCATGTTTTATTTATTTTTAAAAAATATTAAAGTATACATGTCAAACTGTTTATTGATTTACTTCTTTTTTACCAATAATTTTCAATGTCTACATAATACAGTACCACAGTATTAAAACAAAACAGGAGACATAAAAACTACAATTACTAGAAATATAGCTAAGCGACGCGACGCGGCGCGACACAACTGATTGTATGAATCATTTCACCAAGCAGTCCACACGCCTTACCCTGGTGCTATCCAAAAATCCTGGGGAGAACACTGCCATTCATGGGAAGATCCACTATCCTAAATATACGTAGATAGTGGATCTTCCCATGGATAGAAACAAGTGCCTGTGTGCTGAAGAATGGTTTATACTTACAGTACAAAAGGTTGTTTGTTCGAAAATCTTCCCACGTTTCATTCTTGGAGCTGAAGTTTTGTTTTGAATTGCTTTTGACATCAAATTTACTCAAAATTCAATACCGTAACAAAAGGAGTGATCAAAATTAATCAAAATTCAATACCGTAACAAAAGTAGCGAGATTGCCACATACATGTAGATCTAAAGAATGGTGCAGGTTTCTGATACACCTTATCGCTAATCCCGCTTGACCTGAGAATCTGTCCCGCTTGAACTTTTGACATCATGCAACAATCACTTTTCCATTGTGGCGTCAGACATTTTCTATTATGAAGTAAAAATTTTACTGGAACTTGTGTGATGTCCAGTAATGGCTGACAAATAGCGATAAGGTGTATTAAGACATGTTCACATGCTCTGTAAACACCATTTCATGAACCTTTGTGTGCAATGTTCGAATCCTGATAACACTATTTGAGTCCTCTTTAAAATTATCCACTTAAGCAATCATTTTGAATTAGTAATAGTAAAATGTGTTTTTTGTTATATTGAGAGACAGTTGACATAATAAGGTTTTTAAACACAATCAGTGTTCCCGCTAGGTCGTTTTCACAGGGCGTTCCGCCCGCCCTTTCCCAAGTACCGCCATGTGCCCTTTTTCTGACGACCTGTGCCCTTTTTTAGACGCCCTGCCCTTTTTCGTAAGTACATGCCTTTATTGCCGTAATATTTTGATGAAAATACAATTATTCTATAGCTACCTGTCTTCATATTTATGACAAGTTTATGACCCTCAGCTAATTAACATTTACAGCAGGTGTAATAAGTTGTGATTACAGATAATCCACATATCGACATCGGATGAGTCATTAATCCGTTAATTAAACTTCATAATTGACCATTGTAATAATTTTTCTCATTAAATTCGGTCTGTCAGCATTTTAAGTTCAATATTTCTCAAAAGATGACAATTTGCGTTTGATGTATCCGTAGATCGTCTGTTGTTTATATGTCAAAGATTTTTTTTAAATTGATCTTTTAAACTAGTTTTAATCCAGAAGAAAGCAAAAACAATGCTTGACTGTACCTTTCATTGAATACCTTCATCCAAATTAAATTAATTAAAGCTGTAATCCATGATCACAAATTGACTGCTTTGTTTACATTTGTTGAAAGCCATGTGCTTTTTTGGCGGGGAAATTTAGAAAACCCCTTTAACAAGAAACAGTTACATTTCATTGTTATTTATAGACAGTAAGATTTTTATTTTGATTAACTGCTAAGATTATTTCTTTAAAAATGAATATTTTCTTGGGGTTAAACTGATAATACTTTAATACTCTACATCTAGGGGTGTGTAAAATGGAAAAAGGGGGGTGGGGGTTTATATATAATATTACAAATATAAGTTTAACAGTCTGAAAAGACATGGTTAAATGGATTTTAATTCTGAAAAACACAATGTGGTTTATTATAATTCATTTATTATTTCTATCATAATCAGAAACACTGGGCTACATGTATAAGCCATTTCAAACACATATTATTGCCTTTATAAGAACATTCAAGACTATAAATATGTATGTACCTGTAGTAAAAATACCCTGGTAGGGCCTTAAAATTTCTACTGGGCCCTTGGAAAAAAGTTTTGGGATCCAGGTTGGCCCTTAGAGAAAATGTAAGGTATTGTTCCTGACTGTATTGCAGATCTAGTGTAGTATTTTAACTGACATGCACAATTCATTTCACTAATGAAATAAAAATAATTGTACAAAACACCGCTGCGCTCTGCATTGCAACCTTAGACCTATCATGCATCAAAAATGTTCTAGGGAAGACTGAGCTAGTAATATACATGTACGTCCTTGCATGGTCCCTTTAATACTGTTACCCAAAATATGGTTGATTTTCTTCTAGCGTAAAAGTGACTAAACCCCCTCAAACTCCTAGCTGAAACCCCTGCAGTTAACATAAGACAATGGTTGACATGCCCTTTTTGAAATGTCAATCATCGTTCTAAAGTGCCCTTTTCATGATTGGCTCCCTGCCCTTTTGAAATCCTAGCTGGAACACTGACAATATGTAGTTCCAATGGAACTTTCCTTAGTTGGAGCCTTATTAATTATGTGTATCCGCAGAATAATATACAGTATATAACAAATAAAAGGTATCTGTATGGGTACGTTGTAGTTACCAATACTGGCTTTTATACAACGGGTAGGTCTTGGTAATGCCAAAACACATAATAAATAGCACCTTGTGCATGTGGTGATTAGCTAAACCGGTTTTTGGTCCTTCACAGGCTGAATGATGAATTTATTCAATTATTTGTTATCTGTTATCCATTATACATGTTATACTGGATAATTATCTGTACAGGATTCAATTATCGCTTAAAATATCCAGTGTTTTAGTCTAAAATAACATTGATGGTCTCATCTCTAGCAATCAGCATGCATCCTTTTAATCTTTTTTTTTTTTTTTGGCATTGTTGTCTCTTTCTCTTACATCTCTGACTACATGTAATTAATGTAAATTTATAGTATGTAAATTTTATATAATAAAATATCATCTGTCCATATATTAAAAAGTGTCCTTGACATTTAGTGAATAGATTTTAATGCTTTAAAAGATGCTATTTAATCATTTAAAGTGTTTAGTCTCATTTGAAATATAAAAAAGTGCCCTATTCAGTATTGAACAGTTTCAACCCACAAAGACCTATTTTCATTTTGATGGGCAAACAATGAAATTATTCAAAATCAGTGAAGAGTGATCATGTTCTAATATTTGTCAATTGGTCTTTGAAAAGTTGTTACATTGGCAATCATACCACATCTTTTTTTATATGGCTTTCAAAACTGGCAACAAATTTTGATTGGGGAATCTAAAGGGATTTTCTATCAATTTTTATACGACCGCAAAAATTAAAAATTTTTTGGTCGTATATTGGTATGACGTTGGCATCGTCGTCGTCGTCGTCCGAAGACACATTGGTTTTCGCACTCTAACTTTAGTTTAAGTGAATGGATCTCCATGAAATTTCACCATAAGGTTCAATACCACGAAAGGAAGGTTGGGATTGATTTTGGGGGTTATGGTACCAACAGTTAAGGAATTAGGGGCCAAAAAGGGGCCAAAAATAAGCATTTTTGTAACTTTCAGACAATAACTTGTGTGTAAGTGTATGGATCTCTCTGACATTGTACCACAAGGTTCCATATCACAAAGGGAAGGCTGTAATTGATTTTGGGGGTAATTGCCTCAAAATTTTAGGAATTAGGGGCCAAAAAAGGGGCAAAAAACAAGCATTTTTCTAGTTTCATGACAATAACTTGTGTGTAAGTGTTTGGATATTTCTGAAATTGTACTACAAGGTTCCATATCACAAAGGGAAAGCTGGAATTGAGTTTGGGGGTAATTGCCCGAAACATTTAGGAATTGGGGGCCAAAAAGGGGCTAAAAATAAGCATTTTTCTAGTTTCCAGACAATAACTTGTGTTCAAGTGTATGGATCTCTCTGAAATTGTACTGCAAGGTACCATACCACAAAGGGAAGGCTGGGATTGAGTTTGGGGGTGATGAATCATAAGGGGGTTCAAAAAATTGGGGGGGGGGATTTTTTTTTTTTTTTTTTTCTTTTATTCCTTTTTTTTTTCTTTTAAAATTTTCCATTTTAAGTTGGTTATTTCTGATTTATATTTAAAAGCAAATAATAATGATATGGTAGGAGATACACACCAAACAGGATGTGTAAATTATTATATAATAAGTATTGTGCAATAGCAAGAAATTTTCAATTGCACAGTATTGCACAATAGCAAGAAATCTTCAATTGCACAGTATTGCGCAATAGCAAGAAATCTTCAATTTAACAGTATTGCGCAATAGCAAGAAATATCCAATAGCACAATATTGCGCAATAGCAAGAAATTGTCAATTGTACAGTATTGCGCAATAGCAAGAAATATTCAATTGCACAGTATTGTGCAAAAGAAGATACTTCGTATAAATTGCTTATTTCTTGATCAATTTCAATGGGGTTTTATTCTTGAATTCTTGGGGTTCTTTAATATGCTGAATCTAACCGTGTATTAAGTTTTTGGATTTTGGGCCCCGTTTTTAAATTGGTCCACATTGAGGTCCAAAGGGTCCAAAATTTAACTTTGTTTGATTTCATCAAAAATTGAATTATTGGGGTTCTTTGATATGCCGAATCTAACCGTGTATTTAGATTTTTAATTTTGGGTCCCGTTTTTTAAATTGGTCTACATTAAGGTCCAAAGGGTCCAAAATTAAACTTAGTTTGATTTTAACAAAAATTGAATTCTTAGGGTTCTTTGATATGCTGAATCTAAACATGTGTTTAGATTTTTGATTATGGGCCCAGTTTTCAAGTTGGTCCAAGTTGGGGTCCAAAATTAAACTTTGTTTGATTTCAACAAAAATTGAATATATGGGGTTCTTTGATATGCTGAATCTAAACATGTATTTAGATTTTAGATTTTTGGCCCAGTTTTCAAGTTGGTCCAAATTGGGGTCCAAAATTAAACTTTGTTTGATTTCAACAAAAAATGAATATATGGGGTTCTTTGATATGCTGAATCTTACCATGTATTTAGATTTTTTATTTGTGGGCCCGCTATCAAATTGGTTCATATTGAGGTCAAAAGGGTCCACAATTAAACTTTGATTTCATCAAAAATTGAATTATTGGGGTTCTTTGATATGCCAAATCTAACCGTGTATTTAGATTTTTAATTTTGGGTCCTGTTTTTTAAATTGGTCTACATTAAGGTCCAAAGGGTCCAAAATTAAACTTAGTTTGATTTTAACAAAAATTGAATTTTTGGGGTTCTTTGATATGCTGAATCTAAACATGTGTTTAGATTTTTGATTATGGGACCAGTTTTCAAGTTGGTCCAAGTTGGGGTCCAAAATTAAACTTTGTTTGATTTCAACAAAAATTGAATATATGGGGTTCTTTGATATGCTGAATCTAAACATGTATTTAGATTTTAGATTTTTGGCCCAGTTTTCAAGTTGGTCCAAATTGGGGTCCAAAATTAAACTTTGTTTGATTTCAACAAAAATTGAATATATGGGGTTCTTTGATATGCTGAATCTTACCATGTATTTAGATTTTTTATTTGTGGGCCCGCTATCAAATTGGTTCATATTGAGGTCAAAAGGGTCCAACATTAAACTTTGTTTGATTTCATCATGTTCATCAAAAATTGAATTATTGGGGTTCTTTGATATGCCAAATCTAACCGTGTTTTTAGATTTTTAATTTTGGGTCCTGTTTTTTAAATTTGTCTACATTAAGGTCCAAAGGGTCCAAAATTAAACTTAGTTTGATTTTAACAAAAATTGAATTCTTCGGGTACTTTGATATGCTGAATCTAAACATGTGTTTAGATTTTTGATTATGGGACCAGTTTTCAAGTTTGTCCAAGTTGGGGTCCAAAATTAAACTTTGTTTGATTTCAACAAAAATTGAATATATGGGGTTCTTTGATATGCTGAATCTAACCATGTATTTTGATTTTGGACATTGGACCATAATAGGTAAATTAAAAAAATTGAAGTTCTTAGACCACATTCTTTCTGTGTCAGAAACCTATGCTGTGTCAAATATTTAATCACAATCCAAATTCAGAGCTGTATCAAGCTTGAATGTTGTGTCCATACTTGCCCCAACTGTTCAGGGTTCGACCTCTGCGGTCGTATCAAGCTGCGCCCAGCGAAGCATTTTATTTGATATATTATAGATGATTTTGTAGAGCATCATAATGATGAGTATACCAATTTATAATGACAAGTCAAAGAAAGAGGAAGAGGAGTATTGGTGTGTTGAAGGAAGTGATGATGAAAAATATGATCCATCAAAGTCGGGGAAAGGCTTATGGGAACCAAGTGCAGAAGACATTCTTAAACTGTTTGAAAAACTTAAAAAAGACAAAATTTTAGACCTTAAATGGAAATGTCCTGGAAGAAAACCACCTGATTCAGAAATTGAGAATGATCGAAAGGTAGCGGAAACAGAAGAAAAGGAAGAAGAAATCAGTATGGAAGAAGAAAAAAAGTATGGAAGAAGAAAAAAAACAAAATACAAAAAAATACAAAATACAATTGAATTTCTTTAAACAGCATAAAATAAACTTTTTGACTGAGTAATCCTGGTATTTTTCAAACATATGCTGGTTTACCTGATCAACAATTCCAAACATATACCTGGAGCCAGTCATAACTTCTGCATTCCTGTGAAACAAAATAATTGCTCCACATGTTCACCATGACAATACCTTTTGTGGAAAAAATGATAAAATCCATGCAAAATTTCAATTTACTGTATACATAAACGTATGATTCTAAAGGTTTTCATGTACGTTCAGAAAAAGATAGTCTATTGAGACATTCTAACAGGCATCAAATTCTATTAAATTCTAGAAGAAGAAAATTGGTTACTTGAAATATTTGTTGTCATGTACATGTAAGATGTAATTATTTTCAATCATTTTAATTTCACTGTCTTCTAGTACACACAAATAATATTTGTGTATGGATTTACTCATTGTGCCGCCTGACAGCATCCAGCAATAGGTAGTAGCCAATAGGGACCACTTCTGTCGCCTTGCTCTGTTCTTGTCCACTATACACTTTGTTAATCTGCAACCCTATGAAATCTATTTGACAGAATTTAATCAAACTTGAACACATTATTTAAATCTGCACATCATTATTCCCCTACCAATTGGTAAAAACTCAGCACCTCATAAGATTAATAAGTGAATAAAAGGAAGGGTGGGGTACAAGGGTCCGGAAATGGTCATATTTGCCAGTTATGTCCTAAACTGAAAGTATTTGTCCTAAATGAGTAATTGGGATTTAGGACAAATTTCATTTTTTAACAGAAATAATTTCGGTCATTTCATTGACTCAATGTTTGAAATCGGATTTCTTAATTGCCATTTTGCACTTGTGATCACTTGTTTTTGTTTATAATCCCTTTCCTGTAATAAAACTGCCACTCCAGTATAGTTTGATAATCCTGAGGGCCCTCCTAATACATTTGTAACTATATCAATGCCTCCGGGAAACATTGGCTAATGATCACTAATTACTTTTTACCTGAGTTTTTAATTCACACCTGACATTGACCACAAGCTCAGAATAATATCTTAAAGAAATTAAAATTCCCTGACAAGTGTATTCATTATTTAATTACTTTTCAGCAAAAACAATCATCAGTTCTGATTTAAAATTAAACCTTAATTTTATCTAAGTAGAAAAAAGTATACACATGTGCATTATTTACTATGTAATACGCATGCGTGAAGTTGTCTTCAGCAAATTAAATATTTAATCGTAAAATGCATATTGATTTCATACTTAAGTAAACAAATGCAACTATTAACTGTTATATTCAAACACTTTTACAAGTAATAAAATTAAAAAGCCAGTGATTTCCTGTCAATTTGATAAACAAAACGAATCCCAGAAATGAATCTGGAATTTTCCATACTTTAATATTATCGTAAACTTCTGGTTTTAATTTTGTCAAATCGAAAGAAACGATAGCAATGTCTGAGAAATTAACCATTTTGAGTCATTAAAATCATTTCTATTTTAAACTGTTGCATTCCCTAAACTGTTCTTGAAGGTTTTTAGAAAATGGTAAGAAATTTACTTGTAATAAATGCGATGAAACAGCAATTCAAGTTCTTTGATGCTATGAATCTAGTTTGACATCGACATTGATGACGACAAAATAATTTGAAAAGGGGCACCAACTTTTCAATCATCTAAAAATGACCGAAATTGTGTGAAAAAATTTCCGGATCCTTGGTGGGGTATATATATCATGTATATCAATGTATATAGGAGATAGTAACACAACAAAAAAACAAAAACGTTACATTTATATTACCATAGTATTTTTTTTTAAATGCAGCAGATTTTATTGACATTTTATAAATTGTATTTGATCTTATTTTACAGACCAGAGCAGCCAACAGAATTTGATTTTGATGATGATGAATTCAGTGACATGTCAAACCCAATCACTCCAAGACGTACACCAGGTTTGTAATTTGATGGTAAACAAAATAGTTCTCACACAATACAAAAGAAAGCTTATCTGTTAATATTTTATAACTATGAATGCAGTTGTATTCCTGCATTACTCTGCGAGATTTATTTATAAGGAAAAATAGAAAAATATGGTTGTTTATAATTTTCCAACTTACCCTTATTTTGAATTCAGACCCAACACTTTTATGAGGATTCCCCATGAATTTTTTACCAATATATTAATTGTAATATAAACATGATAAACTGCTGACTTATTCAATCAAAATATTCAACAGAATACTGTTAATTCAGAAATTATTGCGAGGTTTTTAATAATGTGACTGAAAGAGTTTCACAATAATAAAAACTCGCATTCTGATATCTGATACATACAACTTGCAGATTTTCTTGAAATCACTATAATTATTCTCGCATTTCAGACCATTCTTCAAAATTCTCAATAATAAATGCACACAATAATTTCTGAATTTACAGTAGATGAATATCAAATTATCATCACTTAGTTCATTACCCAAGTTTTTGTAAAACCATATGATGATACTGGAACCAGGCTTGCTAAAGACACAACATTTTTCATTTTGTGACAAAAAAATCCTCATTCTGTATTTCTGTATTTCTTTGGCATGAATCCTGGAACAAACATTTTTTGGCAATCTTTAAAAGAGGAGAAAGATACCAGAGGGACATTCAAACTCATAAGTCGAAAATAAACTGACAACGTCATGGCTAAAATAAAAAAGACCAACAGACAAACAATAGTACACAAAACACAACATAGAAAACTAAAGACTGAGCAACACGAACCCCACCAAAAACTGGGGGTGATCTCAGGTGCTTCGGAAGGGTAAGCAGATCCTGCTCCACATACTTTAAAAGTAACAGTAGCACACGAATTGTGGTTATGCTTGTTCTGCTTAAAGACCTGTTAGCTTTTGAAATAGACAAAATTTGGTCGTCTGGATGAACTTTTTGGCCATATTTTGCTTTGAATTTTTTTAAATAGAATGAAACAGCCTTTATGTAACTTTCATGCAGGCCAAGTACAAATTTAACAGGCCCTGGCTGTTGAGCATTTACCAAACTTTGAATGCAGCCCTCCTCGTTCCAAGATGAAAATTCATCCATGATTGATAGACAACAGTCTATAACATAAATGAATGTGAAGAAACTGTAAGGCAAAGTGGATACATTTCATAAACTGTAAATTTTTTAAGAATGGACAAAAATGCGAAATCAATTATTGCAATTCTGCATACAGACATATGTTTAACTTCAGAATGTAAGTTCTTATTACAGTGTCTTCCCTAGAAAAATTTTCATGCATGGTGGGTCCATGGTGAATTTGCAACGCGGCGTGCGACCCTTTCCCTTTCTGAATTAGTTACACTACATAATATTTATGTTTAAAGCCATATACCAATCTAATTGTTTTATTATAGGTACAGCAATTCATAAAATTCATGGAACTTTAAAGTATTTATCACAGATGAGAGGAATTAATGAAAGACCTTATAAACAATAATAAGAAAAATCCAGTCTGCAATAGTTATTTACAATTTAATGTCATGTACACATTATTTTGTTGATAACTTTCTCTTGTTTCAACTTTCCAAAGGTCACCACACATTTTTCCAAATCAAAATCTTCCTCCTTTGGTCCAACTGATATATGCATTAAGCAATTCAGCACTTTTTGACATAGTCTGTTTCTCAACTTCAGGGCTTTGCTCATGGTGATGATTTTTATACGCCCGTCAAATTTTTGACGGGACGTATTATGGTATACAAATGTCCGGCGTCCGTCCGTCTGTCTGTCCGGCATAAACATGTCACACTGTAACTTGAGAATGACTTATCCAAATTTCATGAAACTTAACATAGTTGTTTCTTATGATGGTCAAACGATCTGTATACTTTTTGGTGAAAATAAGATTAAAACTTTTTGAGTTACGGGACTTAGTAACTAAAACAGGTGTGTGTTTTTTTTCACATGTCGCGCCGTATCTCAAAAACAATTTATGATTATTGCTTCAAACTTTACACACTTCTTAGTTATATTAATCTTAAGATCTGTATACTTTTTGGTGATGATTCAAAATTTTATTTTAGAGATATTGAGTATTTTGTTAAAAAAGGGGGAGGGGTTTTTCACATGTCGCGCCGTATCTCAAAAATAGTTTATGATTATTGCTTAAAACTTTACACACTTCTTAGTTATATTAATTTAAAGATCTGTATACTTTTTGGTGATGATTCAAAATTTTATTTTAGAGATATTGTGTTTTTTGTAAAAAAAAAAGGGGTTTTTCGCATGTCACGCCGTATGTCAGAAACTATTTATGCTTATTGCATAAAAATTCACACACAAGACGACGGGCGTATCATGCACTCATGGCGCAGCTGTTTATTATTATCTGTCTGACTACAATTTGATGAAGGAGTAGACTTTTCTGAGTCTTCTCTAACCAACTTGTCAAAAAAGTTTGGACAGTAAGGCGACGTGTCTTTGATGGTTGCTTGGACATGGTTGTTTAAATGATTGATGATTGTTCTTCGAATTTTGCTGATAGAATGATTTCAGCATCAACAGCAAGTTGTTAAATAAAACTTTGAATGTCATCATTGCTTCATAGAGATTTTACAGGAAACAATATTATGAAAAAAAATTATTTGCGTTAATTATAGAAGTCGTCATGACTCGTCAATGAAGAATATCTGACCTACGGACATACAGATGAAATATTTGGCAATTACCTGTTTGGAAGCTAAGCTAACATTTTATTTCATGGCAATTAACTATTTTTTTAAAATACATCCCTGTCCGATTTATTTATAACGCTTCATAATTGTAAAAAACCAAATCTTGCGGAAGTGAAAGAAATTAAGCCCCACTTGTGTAAAAAACGGCAAATGAATCCGCTAGACTTAAGCTTGTGACCCATTGAAATACAAATAGAACAACACAAGTTTATTAAAAACAATATTTCCGTAAATAACTACGTTTATTTTGAAAGTTTTTCTATGAAATCTTTTAAATATTTCATAAGACACGTCTTTTTCTCGGCCCGGTGGCGGTGATGTGTATTCTTTGATATAATCAATCAACCGCCACTAATCTAAAAATAACTGATTGTAGTGACCAATCAAAAAATAATTCATCGATGTAAATAAAGCGGATGAAATAACTGCGAAACTTCATAAAATAAAATGTTTTGTTCATTCTCGGTGAAATTACGTTGTTTTATTTCATGATACATGTACCAGATACTATACCAAATTTCAAATTTCCACTTTTTAAAGATAACAGTAAAATAACGATGTCAAACACCGGTTTTAAAGTTGAAATTTATACTGGAAAAGGTTAAACTTTTATTTAGCACAGAAAGATGTGCATTGGAGATTAATCTGACTATTTATTTATCAGCTAACTGGCCACTTCTATTATGTAACCGAAGTCTCGATGTATAACCGACTAATCAAGAAGGTTGTAAAATCCCGGCACGCGCGACGTGATGCATCTAATTATCAGTTGGATGAGTTTAAAACACCTGTGGAGTGTTGTTACTTGTCACTTCACTTTCAAAATATAGATAATAAATATTTTACACAGTTATAATTTTCACACATAGCAGGATGCATTGCGGCAATGATGAAAGCATGGTGGTTGAAATTTAAGCGTAGCCGTACCCCAATGATTGAATAGCCTAGGGAAAACACTGATTATTGCATTAGATATAAGAAGATGTGGCATGAGTGCCAATGAGACAACTCTCCATCCAAGTCAAAATTTATAAAAGTAAACCATTATAGGTGACTGGTCAAAGTACGGTCTTCTTCACAGAGCCTTGGCTCACATCGAACAGCAAACTATAAAGGGCCCCAAAAATTACAAGTGTAAAACCATTCAAACGGATACTCACCTAGTTGCATTATTCACATTAATATGAACATCGCAATAATTTCTGAATTTTCAGTATTTCAGTCTGCAACAATGTCTATACATGTATCATCACTCCTAGTTTATACATGTTCTGGATGAAAATAGCAGACAGTAACAAAGGTCTGCCATCAAATCCAATATTTCTGGAAATTGCTTTTTATGTACATGATGTATGGATGTTGTTGACAAAAGTTTGGCTAAAATTAAAATAAAATTTAAATTGTTTGATATTGCCTACCTACCCACCTAAAAACATGAAAAGGCAGCCTACCCGAAAACAATTATGACAGAAAGCATTTCAAATTTTTTTTCAAGATTTTTCCTATTCTTACATCGTTTTCCTGTCTAAAACATGTAACTTATGTTGTTGGCCCAAAAAAAATAAATCCCTACCTACCTACCTACCCAACCCTACAAGGCATGGGTAAGCAACATCAAACAAGGAAGTTGTTAAGGGTGGCCTTATTACCTCAACTCTCAGTGAGAAGAACTTAAATATATTGTTTTCAAAATAAATATACTACAGGTAGTAATACTAGTATAAATATAAAACTTCACTGTAAGACTGATTTTTTTTTATTTTTAGGAGGAAAGACCCCTAAGTCACAGAAGAAAGTTGCAACAATGGATAAAGTTTTTAGAAATATCATGATAGAAAGAAAACAAGCAGCATTACAAAAGGAAGCAAGAAAGTTAGCTAAATCTCCAAGAACACCTCAAGGGGTACCAAGACCAAGACTTGGTACCCCTCCTGTAGCCTCAAATATTGGACAAAGTCAACACAGAGGAACTCCCTTAAGACCACCTGCAGTGTCTGAGGCTGCTCCTATTAGAAATCTGATGGCTTCTTCAGTTGCTGATATAAATCCAAATGTGCCGCCTGAGACAAAAGATGCACAAACGCCAGGGAACATTTCTGCGGACAGTTTGTCAAAATTTGAACAAAAATCAGAAGATAAAGTCTCATGAAAGGAATTTTCATTTAGGAGAAATGATTTTTAAATGTAATCCATGCATCTCTTTTTTCGACTATTATGAGATTTGTGTCAAATGCATGCTACTAGTGAAAGTGGACACTTATACTAAAATCAATGAAATTCAATGTTTTCATCATTTTTAGTTGATGAATGCTGTATTAAATGAAAATCTGTTGACTTGATGAAATGGTGACTATTTTCACAAAAAATCTTAAGATTAAAATTAGTTGTAATTTTTTTGTGAATAGAGTCACAGGATTCCAGAAATTTCACCATGTAATAAAAATTGCCACAAATATATTCAAAGTATCATGTCATGTTTTAAACATTTTTAAACATGATGAAAAGCTTGTACAACCAGTGACCATAAGTATTTGTGATAGATGTTTTTTGTCAGATTTATAGTTTATTTTAGGGTCATTTTGAGTTGATTTCTTCAGAAAATATAGAGTTATTTCATTAAAACTAATATCGGAGGAGAGAAAGGGAAGTTTTTGGGTAAAGATTGCATGAAATTTAATCAAAACCCTATGGTACAGACTTGATATCTATATCTTCCAAGGTTGATCACTACCTTTGATAGTTTAAAAAAAATAGTCCCATAAAGTGTTCATTATTTAAATCCTATCCAGTCGATGTCATGCAATTTATTGATCAGTGTTCCCGCCTGCCCTAAATAGAAGGGCGGCCCGCCCTTGGTGCCCTTACCCCCACCCTTACCCCCGCCCTTCTGCCCTCCCTCTGCCTTTTCAAAAAAATAAAATTTCCAAATTTCATGCCTACCGGTGTTTCCGGTAAAATTGTTACCTGATTGTGTAACACTAATTAACTGGCAATGGGATTAAGTTAAATACCTAATGCTTTGGCAGTTTTATCACCTTTGTTAATGATTGTTTACTGCTAATTAGTGGATTTAAGATAATTGAACAAATACTTAGACAATATACGTATAGTGTCTTGAAATATGAAATTTATTTGTATGAGGCTAAGAAACGGGGGGAAATGCGAGGTTTACCGAGCATTTCCCCCTGTTTCGTGCCGAATACAAATAAATTTTATATTTCAAGACATTAAACGTATATTGTCTTTATACTGAAATCGATAAAAAACATACAAAAATATAATAAAATACGTAACAAATTTATTGTTAAAAAAAAGTGTTTGGAATTTCCCTCTTGGGGTACCATTGTTGGATATTTCCCTATGAGCGTAGTAACTCATAAAGTCCAGGCGATAAGACATTGACATTTTTAGGAATTAGAAAGAAATAAACTATAATTTAATAATATTTTATAAAAATGGTATGTAAATTACGAATTTCAAGACATAACAAGTTTAAATTTACAAAAGTTTGACAATTGTTACTACACGTTGTCATGGTTGTGACGTGACATTGTTGTTGAAATACAGTAGTTCCGGTAAGTAGGCGTGGCTAACAGGTTAGTTGAGGTCATTGACGTATAAAGCTAACGTTTATACGTATAGCTTTATCTGTATAGTAAAATAGCTGATTGCAGTATAATAGATATTTAATACAGAATGAAATGTCCACATGTTATCCATTTGTAATGTTTATGTACAGCATGTACACCTGAAAAAATTTATTTCAGTAGACATTAGTGGATTTAAAAAATAAAATCTTAAGCAATTTTAAAGACATACATAGTTTTGACTTAATTGGTAAAAAATGTTTTGTTTCATAACCATGAGTATGAAATTTAAAGAAGAATCAAAGAAATTTGTACTTTGAACATAACAAGATTCACTTCCTGTTTTACTTCTTGTATTTTATAATCCTCCTGACATAGGAGCACTCAACAAATTTATTTTTAACAATGATGGAGAAAAAAGTAACTGTTTATATCTTCTGCAATATATTATTGGATCAATATAGTATGCTCATCTCCTGTCTCACTTGTTATATTTATAAAACTCCTTACCGAGGAGCACTTTGGTGTGCACTTAAAAATACTTTTTTGTAACAATTCAAATGATAATAAATAACTCTCAATAACATATTTACTATATGTTTGAACAAGTAATTTAAATGTAGATAATTTAATTACATTAAACCTTCAATTTTGCATGTATAACTCCATCTTTCAAAACTACTTGTTTATTTTGGTATAAGTTATAAAACATTGAAATTTCTGATGATTATTTTCCTTACCAAATTTACAAGTTTGTTTAGATTAACATCAAAATGATATACTTTGCTTCATGGTATGATAATTTGATAAAAAAAAATTCTTTATACTGGAACCAACATCAAGAACACATTAATTTTTGAATATGGTTTAAATACAACTAATGTTCTCCAGCTGAGCCTAGCAATATTCAAGGTAATTTATACAATGTCCAACATTGCCCTTTAAATTTGGATTATAACGCTTAAGTGCCCTTTCAGACAACTAGCACCCTTCTGCCCTGAGATTCATGCTGGAACACTGTTGATGATATGTTATACTTTTATATTTAAGTTACAATATGATGTGTATTTGAATTACCATATTTGTCAAGAAGAAAACATGTTTTTATTCAAAGTTACATAAGTAATGCATGGTGTATGAATCTGTTATAAAAATAGGTTCAACTATAAATGTACAATCATGAACAAATTACTTACATCCACTTCATTTGAACTTGGGTTGATAATTGTCTCATTGGCAATCATACCACATCACCTTATTTTTATAAGGGAAGATAACTCTAACTCTATTTTAATTGACCTAGCAAAGTACACAATGAAGTACAATTCAATGTTTTATTTCAAAATTCACAAAATGGCAAAATGAAAGCAGTCTTTACCCTTCAGTGCTCTCACCCAATTTGATTTCCATTGGTCATGATGTTTGAGGGTCATTTATGGCTGTTTATTGCTATTATTTTTAATAATCTGCAAAATTAATAAAGAAAAGTATGTTAGTTGTGGGAGAAATTTGGAAGTCTTAGCATACTGGAGATATCAGTTTCATGAAAACTGGAATTTAGTTTTCTCGTTTGAATTGTTTTACATTGTCATTTTGGGGCCTTTTATAGCTGACTGTGCAGTATGGGCTTTGCTCATTGTTGAAGGCCGTACGGTGACCTATAGTTGTTAATTTCTGTGTCATTTGGTCTCTTGTGGAGAGTTGTCTCATTGGCAATCATACCACATCTTCTTTTTTATATTAAATGAAATTCAAGTACATGAAATATGTTGTAAATTCATGTTTGATAATGAAAGTTGATATAGATATTAGGTACCAAAATTAAAACTTTTTTGTTATTAATTGTTGTTGCTTTTTACCTACAACATGGAGGCTTGAGCAGATCTAGGAACTGCTCTGTTTAATCTTTCATCCAAAACACATAGAGGGTACCTAGGTTGTGTTGTCCACAACTCCAACATTTTCCTTCTAAGTTAATCAAACTTTGCACAATAGTTGCAGATGTGCACCTTGGCCTAAAAGGCCAAATGAGCTTTTCTCGTCACTTGGTGTCTGTTGTCGTTATCTTTTACAAAAATCTTCTCCTCTGAAACTACTGGACCAAATTTAATCATCATAACCTAGTTTTAAAAATGTGTCCAATGACCCAGTCTGCTAACCAACATGGCAGACATGGATAAAAATAGAACATAGGGGTAAAATGTAAGTTTGGTCTTTTATCTTGAAAACCGCTATGAATGGAGAAAATGTGCAGTGGCAAAAATGTTCACAGAATGATGAGATCTACATATTGTATATTTACTTCAAAACTGTTAGACAACTTCTTATACGAGCTATTGCCTTTAAATGACAAATTTTACAGATTTTTTTTCATGTTTGCCTGATACCTGAAAAACTATAATATAGGGAGAATTTTATATATGAAAAACATCAACAAAACGAGATCTTCAAATCAGTCCACTGGTTCGAAATCATCTGACAACCCCTTATGGGAGTTATTGCCCTTTGATAATGATTTTTATACGACCGCAAACATTTTGCAGTCGTATATTGGTATCACGTCGTCGTCCGAAGACACATTGGTTTCCAGACAATAACTGTTGTTTAAGTGTATGGATTTCAATGAAATTTTACCATAAGGTTTATGACCACAAAAGGAAGTTTGGGATTGATTTTGGGGGTTATGGTTCTAACAGTTCAGGAATTAGGGGCCAAAATGGGGCCCAAATAAGCATTTTTCTAGTTTCCAGACAATAACATGTGAAATGGTGAATGGATCTCTCTGAAATTATACCACAAGTTACCATATCACAAAGGGATGGTAAGAATTTGCTTTGGGGGTTATGGCTCAAACTGTTTAGGAATTAGGGGCAAAAAAAAGGTTAATGGACAATTACTAAAAACAAAACATAATTTTAAAGTAGTGTAAGGGAGGTAATTCAAACACATATTGTCAAATTACCTCCCTTACACTGCTTGTAAATTATTTACAAAGAAATGCATTGTCTTAAGGTGATTAGCTGTCAATTTATTTTTAGAAGTTACTATTTTAAAAATGTTTAATAAAGGTAATTTAATTATAGCCATGATTATGTATGTGAAGGAATTTTATTTTTAGATATTACTATTAAAAGTTGCTGATGAAGGTTTTTTAACTTTAGCCATGACTATGATGTCATTTTCTATTTTAATACTTTTATGATGTATTTAAATGGGGTTTTATGGTTTAAAAAAAAGCATTTTTCTAGTTTCCAGACAGTAACTTGTGATTAAGTGTATGGATCTCGCTGAAATTGTACTACAAGGTTCCATACTACAAAGGAAAGACTGCAATTGAGTTTGATGGTTTATGCTAAAAGGGGGATTCAAAAAGTTTGGGGGGAAGGGGGTTTCCAATTTTTTTAAAAGGGTTCATATTTTTTTTTTTTAATTTTCAAAATTTCAAATTTTTGAAAAGTTTCAATAAGAAATCTTCAATTGCACAGTATTGTGCATTAGATTTGTAAGATCTTTTACAACATTTATTTTGTGTCAGAAACCTATATTATGTCAAAAATTTGATCACAATCCAAATTCAGATAGTATAAAGCTTGAATATTGTGTCCAAATTTGCCCCAACTGTTCAGGGTTCGACCACTGTTGTCGTATCAGGCTGTACCCAGCGAAGCATTATATTACTTTTATTTTTTGCTGTTGCCTAATATATAGAAACTCGAAATCATCAGTCGACTCTTTGTAGCCTAGGAGTACTTGCTCTTTAAAGACTTTTTTTTACCAATATTTTACGGATTTGCCTACAATCTTGAAAACTATAAAAGATAGATAAACACTTAAAATAGCAAAAATGATCAACAAGACAAGATCTACAAATAAGTAAGATTTTGTCAAAATTGTTGGTTTACTCTTTATATGAGTGATTGTCTTAATTGATATTTTGTGTTTTGTGCAAAAACTAAGAAAAGAGAGAGAGAAACTGTAAACAGAAAAAATTATCAGCAAGACAAGATTAACATAAAAAAGATTTTTGTCATGCTCATAGACAGGTGAGCGACACCTGCTCTTTAGAGCCTTTAGTTGTCTCACATTGACAGTCAAAAAGCGAGACTTAGGTATGCTGTTTCTGGCAGCAGCATCAACAATGTATTAGTTAATGATTAGGTCACTTTTAGGGGAACCACTAGTAAATCAATGTTTGGTATGCAGTTGTAATAGCATTGGCACATCTCATTTCCATGGAGATTATTTGGTCCAGACCCCTCAGTCATGGGTCTATTGACTTTGAATACTTTGCATAGTTTACAAATGAAATTTGGTATATAGCTGTATTAGCATTTGCATGTTTCATTTCCATGGAGATTATATGGTCCTGTCCCCTCATCATGGTTCATTGACTTTGAATCTTTTACATAGTTTACAATCTAAGTTTATGTTTAGGTTAGTTTTACGGAACCATTCAATATAATGAACTGAATGATCTTTATTGTCATATGAACAAACTAACCATGTTTGTGATAAAAACAAACAGTTGTCTCATTGGCACTCATACCACATCTTCTTATTTATATACATATATATATGTATATATCAATGCAATATAAATTCAACATGAATCCTGAATCATTAACAAAGTCAAGAAATATATATATATATATATATTTATATATATAAGTCAATGGTACTTGGTATGAGGTTTAACAAGCATTGAACAGTCATCGTTCATAAACTGAATATTTTGCAGTTTTCATATTTAAGTATTGCCATTTCAATTTCATTATTTGCATGATACTATCAAAATTACAAAAAGGGGAGACATATCTCTGTGTGAACAGTTTATTGAACTTGGTCTTTGAATGCTGTAGTGACCTATTTGTTAATCTTTCAACTCCAACAACATTTTCGTTCACATTATTCAAACTTTGCACATAGATTGAAGTTGTGCACCTCCTTTTATTGACAGTAAAATAAATGAAGAATGTGTCCCCCAAATTCAAACATGATCTGTGTTTGGTGGTGATAAGCATTATGTATAAGTTTTATAACATTTGGTTGAGGCAAAATAAAGTAAGATTGTGGAAACTGCAAATTTGCCAATTTTTCGATTTATAAAGGGACATAACTCAACCACGACGAAAGTGACGCAACCTTAATTCAAACTTGATCTGTGTTTGGTGGTAATAAGCATTGTGTATAAGTTTCATAACATTTGGTTGAGGCAAACTAGAGTTTTGGGACGTACAGACGGAAAGGGTAAAACTTAATGTACCCCGCTGCAGCGGTTGCATAAAAACATCTTTTGTCTAAGAATTTTTTTAACTTGAAAGGGATAGATATATTATATTCCTTCATACTTAATGGTTTGATGAAATTCTTTAGTTTTCCAATACAGTACTTTATTCAGAAATTATTGTGTGCATTTATTATTGTGATTTCGGCTTGACAGACCAAAATCTGAGAATAATATTGAATTACACGAATAACTATACAATGATATGTGTCAGTATCAGAATGCAAGTTCTTATTATTGCAATACTCACTCAGTCTCATTATTCACAATAATTTCTGAACTTACAGTATTTATAATGCTGAAAGTAGTTCCTCAAACCATTGTGGTGTGACACAGGTCCAGACACGGTATTAATCTTGTTGAAGTATACTGTGATGAAATAAGATTGCTCACACTGAAATGTCTGGCCTGATTTACTTTTATTGAAAGTATGTAATATGAAGGTTTTTCTACAAGTATTGCAATCTTAACATTATAAATGATTTATGTAAATGAAGTCAAGGTCAGATGAACCCTACCAGATAGGAATGCACACCTTTCAATCATACAATACATCAAATATAGTTGGCCTGCTGCTTATAGTATCTGAGAGACAGACATCCATGAAAATTAACATTGATTAATGAACCATAAAAGTAAGGTCAAGGTAGGATCAACCCTATTAGGCACACATGTTCACCTTACAATCATTCCATTCACCAAATATAGTGGACATATTGCTTATAGTATCTTAGAAATAGACCAAACCACAAAAACTTAATATTGTCCAATGAACCATGAAAAAAGGTAAAGGTCAAATGAAACTTGCCTGATGGACATGTACACCTAACAATCATGCCATACATACAATAGTTTATATTTTGTGTATAGTACCTGGGAAACAGATCAAACTACCAAAACCTAACTTTGACCAATGAACCAGGAAAATAAGGTCAATGTCAGATGAAACCCAAAAGTCATTCCATACACCAATACAATACAGTTGACCTATTGCTTATAGTATCTTCGATACACACTGGACTATGAAAACGTAACCTTGATCTCTCATCCATGAAATAAGGACGAGGTCAGGTGAACCCTGTCTGCGGGACAAGTAGACCTTGCTTGAATTCCGTATATCAAATATTATTAAGTTATCATATTACTCGTAATAAAAAATGAGGTGAAGGACAATGGACATACATATAAACATATAACAGAAACATTGTAACATAAGGTTTGAAGCATCCAGGTCATCTAACTTCTGATATATAAAGCTTTATACAAATAGTTTATGCTGCCGCTGTAAATATTTAGTTCATATGTATAAATATTGCCATTTATATTTCAACATTTGCATTTTACTATCAAAATTACAAAAAGCAAGACCTATCTCTGTGTCAACAGTTCATTCATAAAATTTACATATCCAAGCGGCATAACTTCTGTTAAAATAGTTGATCCATGCTGATTTTCAAATTTGTCCAAGATGTTGCTGTGTTATATCAAAAATTTCATAAATTTCATTAGAATTTGACAAGAAATATAGCAGTAGGAACCTTACACGATTAGACAGATGCATGAACCCCCAGTATTTTAATGTCCCTGCTAAGATGAAGGACATCTGGAGGTCAATGTATCTTCAGTTTGATAAAGAAAAAACAACACAAACTGCTACCTAGTTTAAATTTTAATGATAAGTACAGCAAAAAAGTACAAAAATACACATTATAACAATATTAATGGTATTGGGTAAAAATTCTACGACAAAAACAATAACAGTAGTTATTTCTTAATTTTTACACCATATAGCACAAGAATTAATATAAAGTTTCAACAAATATAAAAAGCACTTTAGAATATACCTGTATACAACATATTAATATTTTTTTAACAACTTAACAAATTTTAGTACTTTATGACTATTCTTCTATCTTTCCCATACTATATTATTTTGGACTTTACAAATCTATTTTTTGAATATCAACTATTTTATTGTACCAATTTTACATACAGATTGTGCTGGAGTGAAATAGAAAGCTAAAGATTGTTTGATCTTGCCAAATTTTTTTACTACTTTATAGTTATAAAAAAATCTATCACTATTTCGCAATTGAATTTTTAATAAGGCCAGTATATATTTGAGATATACTTCAAACTTTTCAAGAATGAAATATATATTCAAATAACGATTTATTCTGTGAATTACAAATACAAAAAGGCAAATTTCTTTTGAGCTTGATTTCAAAATCTTGAGATGTTATAAACAATATATTACATAATAAACTTTTTTAATTTGGTAACTATGGTTTAAACTTGAACTTATTATTCTATCAATTCACATAGCCGCTTTTATCTTACAGTATGTACTTTCATTTTTTAATAACTACATTTTTATCTCAATATGTTTATTTCTACATCGTTAGCATTATACATTTAACACAGAATAGTGATTCTTGCTACCATCAGTTCCAGTTTCAATGCAACGACTTTAATTTTAAAGATAACTAAAAATAGAAGTTTATGCATGTGCTGTGACAGGTTAAGTTTAAAAAAATAACTTTCACATGTTAAGAAAAAGGAAGAAATTTACGTAATATTGGAAAATTTTAAGATCTGTCAATTCTTGTCATCACTCATAAATCATTACAAAATAAGGGGAGACTATTTATTCAAGCTCCATTTCAATATTTTCATTTACAAATTCTTGAATGACTGTCATGTGGTACAAGCACAAATAAATGTGAGATTCTTAATAAGTATGTATACATAATTAAACATTCACTGCCATTTTTACTGTGATGAGGCCACATCAAAAATTTACAAATTAGCTTTTTAATGTTTTTTAATATAAAGACATTTATTACTTGAAAAAATATGATTTTGTGGTCTCTTTTTTCACAAACCCAGCAATTTATCATATTATATGCAGCTGATATAGTTTGACTATTTTGAAACACAATTCTTTAATTTAAATAGGTGATTAATTACAACATGAAAAGCTTCTTATATTTGTGGCCTCCATTTCTGGTCTTCTGTGCTTCTTAAAAAAAATCTTAAGATTTTTTAATGAATAAGCACTAAGTGAAAATAAATATATTCTGTAAATTATCACAGCTATAAATCTGTCAACGTGTAATCAATCAGTGGACGTGGACTAAAATATGGCCATATATAATAATGATTATTTTTGTTGAATATATTTTATATATTTTTATTTTTTCTCGATAAGGTTTATATGACAAATTGTGTTAAAAATCTATTCTTCTTATCAAGGATCATTTTGTCATTTTCATCTACACCTTTCTAAAAGTCCAAGAGGATGAGGATTGTAACCCTATTCTTGCTGCCAAGTATTAGAATTTAAGCTTATAAATATTTAAAACAAAAATAACCCGTCAAAACTCATAAAGGGATGTAACTCTTCTTAACAGTAATATATGTATAAACAATATTAATTTGAAATCTTTAATGTCTTCAGCCTCTTTTTTTTTTGTCATGTCCCCTGGTGATATCACTATACTAGCTAATACATCACCATGAAATGGACGGTGGCAATTGATAAAACAAAGCAAGATGCCACTAAGAATTAAACCCAACATTGGTATTTCAACATCTGAAACTTCCCATTTAAGACAATGGATTTGAATCTTGTTTTCCAGTTGTTGTTTTTTTTCTGAATGGTTAATACATGACTTTTGTCAATTTAATAACTGTTGATGTGAAAAGTACCTCACCCAAAATATATAAGCATCTACTATAGACTTGTCATCAGTGAAAAATTAGAAAGTTAAAGCTTATCACCAAGACAAATTACAGGTGACCAAGCGGAGAGAAATTAGAAACCATTTTTATTCCTTCCTGGTTCTTTGGTTTCCTTTTTGATTTGTTTTTGTATATTTGTAAATCAAAAATAAAAAAAAACATTAGAAAAAGGTCCAAAAGATGCACATGGATTTTTATAAACCAAAAATATTTCGAGTGTGTTTTTAACATCATTTGTATCAAAATTATATTTAAGTACAACTATTCTATCAGTCTTTCCCTCTGACATAAAAATTACTATTTGATATAAGTAATAAGTATGCACTACACTATATCTGAATTTATATATTCATGATTTACTTACTACATGTTACATGCAAACTAAATCTTAACAACGATAGATATAATACAATATATTACACATTGTCAATAAGATATTTACGTCACATGACTGGAATGATTGAAAGATAAATGAAAAGCTGCTTCCTATCCCAAATTGTCAAAAGGTTAAGGTCAAGATCAAAGGTTAAAAACAACCTGAATGACTATCTGTATTCATTTTTGTACAAGAGATTTGATGTCGAAAAAAAGCTAAAATAATGTATTAATCAGGATTTTACTTTTTCAATATTTCATAACAAAAGTTTTGAAAAAATGTAAGTGGTCTGTGAGATCAGAGTTCAGAGTTCACACTATCAAATGGTCGCTGAGTTCAACACCATTTACAATATAACAAAATCCAAAGCTAGATCAGAACAGTCCATGATTTTTGTCCGTTAAGAACAACATCCATAGAAAAACACATCGTCGTACTTCAGCAGTCACATGTTTTTAGACATCCTTCAAATAGTCTTCATGACTGTTTAAAAGGTCAAAAAGTATGTACATAATATCTGTCAGCTTAAAACAGCAGTAATCAAAGCTTGCTGCATCCCATAGTTTAAGCGTGAACACATATGTTCTCATCTCGTTCCCAAAGAATGACAGACAAATTGTTACAGTATTTGTTAAATGTCTTTGCCTGTTAGTCAGCAATTTGTTGATACAACACTCAATCTGTGCCCTTCAATTCACATCAGCAAATATTTCAAGTGCTAGGAGCTGTCTAAACTCTCGGTAAGGTGTGAACTTCAAAAATCACTGAAAATCCAGGGCGACATAAACTTCTTGGAGCTTCTGTAAAGCAAAGTGGGGAATCCTAGGGCAATAATGTCGCTCTCTTCGTCTGGTGTGGTGACCCCTGGGTATTTTGCTCCATGTTGAAGGCCTTACTGTGACTTTGAGATGAAAGACAGCAATAATAGGACTTTTTAAGACATCCTTGATAGTGCAGGAAGGCCAATTTTAACCAAAATGCTATTTAATTTAACGGTAGTCAAAGTCTGAGAAACTTCTTCTACAGATGCCATTCTGAACACTGGTCATGAACTGAGCTGATCTAACCATTAAAGTCAGCAATTGTCAACAACAATATTGTAAATGAAATACATACATTCCTTAATATTTATACAATTCTATCTATCATAACAAAAAAAATATATATCAATGAAGAAGAAAAAAACGTTGATCTTCCTCACAACATCATTATCTATTCTACCAGCATGTTACATGGAGTAAAAAGTTAACAATATGCGTCAATTAAAGGAAGAAAATGCTTACAAAACTGAGGTAAATTGACAGGCAGGTACAAAACAAAAACTAAAAACTTTTAGGGCACTAAGAGTTATAATTCTCTGATTTACAGGTCTATCAAATTTGAATTAATCAATTTCGATTTTTTTTATTTTTTGAAATTGTAAAATAGTCATGTACATTGTGTTGCAATCAGTAATCAGAATTTATTTAGTATTGCTGGAATGACCCCAAAATGATTTTTAAAAAACCATGAGAAAATAAATCGATAGACCTCCATCCAGAAGGAGGATTGGCATGCTCTACTGCTTCAATTGTGATGAATCTGTCCAGGTTAATGTTGTTATAAAATCTGCAAATATGAATGACAGAAAAAAACGAGTTATTACAGCTGAAGTATTTGGAGATGTAGTGAAAACATAAAACTTAATAAAAATAAGGGGATGTAGTATGATTGCCAATGAGACAACTATCCACCAAAGTTTGCTTTTTTGTGAGGTAATAATGATCTCATTATTTGCAATGGTAATAAAAAACTTTTGGAGAAGCAGATTTTTACAAACATTCTTGTATTGCCTATTGCATTACCTGACTGGTTTCTCATGACAACTGTTACCACACCAAAAGGTAGTCAACAAAGCAAAAATTGACCTCATGGTGAATAAATCAAATTTTAAATACTTTGAACACACTCGTACAAATCAGCTGCAATAGTAATTTATCACAGAGTTACACTATATATACTGGCTAAATCAAATTTACATTATTTATTAAAATGATGAGAATTTGGAAATTGTTTTTAATATCAGAATTTGAAAAAAAAATAATCATGATTACAATTTGATAAAATGCCTCCTGTTATGAGAATTTGGGAATTTTTTTTAATATCAGAATTTCAAAAAAAAAATAATCATGATTACAATTTGATAAAATGCATCTTGTTATGAGATTCTTAAACATGAATATGCAAGGAATGAATTTAATAAATCTAATTGTACCAAAAACTGATCAAAAGGCAAAATATCTCTTTAAAAATAATCACTATTTTTTTTCTAGTGAATCTAGCCATCTAATATTCTCTTACGACACAAATTCTACCTTATTTCAAAATCGTAAATTACTATTTAAAAATTTTCAAATTCTAACCTGCCCAAATGTTGATATTAATAAACACCTTCATTTTCCAAAGCAACAGATGTAACAAAGATCATAATTAAAGTAAGAACTTTCTTACAAAGACAATGAAATGATTGACAATACATCTATGTAAAAACTAGCTGTCTTCAAGTTGAACAAATATTGCAGTAATGACATGAAAATGATTCTAATAATTTTGAGTTGACAACTAATAAATGGAATGGAAATTTAAATTAAACTGAAATATAGATACACCTTGGTAAATGACATAAAAAAAAATGTGTAAAATAGTGCTGTGACTTTTGACATTGTCTTAGATGAAACATTGTGGTATTCCATATGCCCTTGTGTATTGAACATTCAACCTTAGAAATGGACACATCATCGTACAACTAAAATTCCAAATACAGGCAAGATGTATACATTAATTACTGCAATAATATTCTTGTAATTTTTCTTTAAATATATCCATTGTATGAAATAGCTCCAAAAACTACTCATTAGAAACTCCAGATCATTGAATTGACATAGTCATTAATGTCAAATTTGGATCTGTGCCAGTATTTCCATTTTAAAAAATGTAGAAATACTTTACCATTTCAGAAGCTAAAGCATTCTGGGTAATATTTTCAAAAAACATATGATGGTACTCTTTACAAATGCTATAAATTTTGTGTCAGAAAAACAGATAACATGTTTATACAGAAAATCTATTGAACAATTTTATACAGAGGAGAACGATTATTAAGTATCAAACATCTTTTCATTTCTTGTCTTCAACATGAACAATGCTTAATTATATGAATATGCTACAATATCATAAATGTACCTATGATATGAGTTGTGACTATCCACGATACTGGTAATATAAACATAACTTCAGAAGATATACAGTGTACATGTATATTTCTATATGCTATACAAAGATATATTGACAGAAAATTTACTCTAAATTACATATCTACAATAAGCGATGATTCAATTTCCTAAACAGTTGGAATGAAAGATAAAATCTATTGAACAGATTTTGGAAGAACTTATCATTTTGTTTTTCTCTGCTAACTAATACATAAAATTCATTCAAGCATAACATAATTTATTACACATCACAAGCATATCACTTACGTTAAAGTTTCCTTTTCCTTATCTAATTCTGAAATTGACCTTATTTAAATGATTTATTTTTATCATAGGTAACACTTTTCAAACCTCCAAACTTGAAGATCTCCCTACCTAAGATTAATGTTTGAATATATTTTGGGTATGACCTACATCTTCAAACTTTCAAAATAATCCAAAAATTAAAGAATCAAAAAGCTCCACAATGCTCCGCAGTAGTTCTTTCCATCTCATAACTCCGTTCATTTGACATTATGTCAGCGAAATGAATCAATTCATCAGACAAACCGAACAACAAACTTGACTGATACTAATACAATGTTTCAAGTATCTTGGACATTTTTTATTTATCATGTAAAAAAATCATTGTGACTTTGATTTGTCATATTCTACAGGACAAACAGTTAATTTAGACAAATAACGGGGAATATGGAAAATTTGTCAACAAAGTAGGAGATTTAGTAATGGAGATATTCATTCTTTTTTTTTTAATATATGGAAACTTCAAAGGAAAACTTACAGCAATTTTTACTATCTGATTTCAAAAATCAATTTAAAAAAAAAAAAAAAAAAAAACAGCTGCAAATTTATATCTATCAGCTGCTGAAAACTAAATTCTGTATCAAAAATGAAAAACAAATTCTAAAAAATTATCTAAATTCCTGCTCTTAAAACTCTTAATCTATGTATATTCTGTTCTAATTTCTTCTAACGTTAGAATACCGAAAAAGGTAAAAAAACAAAATAGTAAGTGAAAAATACTCCAAAATGAATGTTTATAGAAAAAGAAGAAATAAAGCGAAAAATGTCATGACAAATGATATCAAAAAGTGAAAAATACTATCACATTTATAAAATTTTCATGGTCGACATGGAAATAAATACTTGTAAGATATAGGTCATATGAATACACTAGCTTGAATTCAAGCTTCTTGATGAAACAGCTTTGACATGAAGCTTCTTGATGACAAAGATTGTCCTATGACTTTTTGATGATGATTTTGGAATATTCCAGCTGATTATGATATGATGTTATATCTTCTCTAAGTAAATATCTTCTTTACCTGAAACATAAAACAATTCAGTTAATATGTAGTTAGTGATACCGATTTGGAGATAAATATTAACATGAATGTGTGTCCATAGGTCACCTTGTCCAGTTTGCACTTTCCTTTGTTCGTGTTCAGTTTACCTTGAAATAAGGATAAAATAGTTATTTGTTAAATAATTCAAAATATTCATCTCTGACACATTAAACATGTATTCTAAGTTTCAAGTTGATGTGACAAAAACCTCTTAGTAAACTAACTTTTTTGGTTAATTTCCAGAAGAAAAAATATATTATCAACTCGTAGAATTTCTCTAATTAGGTGGACACTTTTTCAATCTAGTGATCTTTGTTTAATTGTTTAAATTGCATTTTACATCATTTTCAATACCTTTTTTTCAGATCTTGTTTACCTAATTTATTAACAACTGTTTCATTAAAGTGAATGTTTTATCCAACTTTCAATTCAGTTTTGATTGATGTATTTTGCCGTAAAAGCTGTGCATGTTTCTTTATCAAATAATTTTCTGTTGTGTAATTGCCTGATTGTTGGCCACTTGAAGTCGTGGTAATATTCATGCATGTTTAACACAGCCACATTCTGTATGTGCCTGTCCTAAGTCAGAAGCCTGTTATTAAGTGGTTGTCGTTTGTTGCTATATATCATATTTGTTTTTCGTTTTTTGTTTTGAATGTAAATCAGGCGTTAGTTTTCTTGTTTGATTTGTCTACATTTGTTATTCCGGGGCCTTTTATAGCTTACCTACTATGTGGTATGGGTTTAGCTCATTGTTGAAGGCCGTACAGCGACCTATAGTTATCAACTTCTATGTCACTTGGTCTCTGGTGGAAAGTTGTCTCATTGGCAATCCTACCACATCTTCTTATGTTTATATACAAATTGTGTAAGATATTTTGTGTTTCTTTAGAAAATTTACTATGTACACATAATTTTTCAAACTGACAACATTTTTACTCCAATTTACAACAAATTAATTTATACCGTTTCCTTATCTGATCTTATCTAGCTAAAGCAGTCAGAATTTTGATCTATCTACAGGAGTTACAGATTTTCAACAAGAGGAGGATGTGGGGTAAATGTTAATCAAAAAGCAACCAAATGAAACGATCTATATCAAAAACTGTCATATATTATTTGTGTAAAGTTGGTTTAGACAGGGGTGTTGAAATGCTATGCCCGACTTGCCCGACCCGTACATTTGAACAACCTGACAAGTTATTTTTTTTTATCTAGGTTGCCCGTGGACCAGGGCTTCCAAAACGGTCATATATTCCGGACTTGACCGAAACTTTCATAAAAAGACCGGCTGCTCTCAGCCTCAAACGGTCAAATAGAATTGGTGTGCCACATTTTGTTATTCAAGGCATTTTCATGAAACGGTCATTTCAATTTTTACCAACTAGGCCTATCGATCGATAAAAATGTCCGTTTGGGGCTTTGGGCATGTCCGTTTGGGCATTTTAGTTTATAATTGTGGCAATCTATTTCACAAAGATATTTCGGTCATAATTGGGTTTAATAAAACAGAAGCAGCATATTTCAGATACTTTGAAGTGTCTCAGTTAGTCTAATCCTCTGGGTACATAAATGTACGGCTTGGTCTTTAGCTTGTGTACATCAATAAAAAGTAGAAAAAACACGTTTTCTTTTATTTAAATAACAACAAGCTGTCAAACAATTATCCCTTCAATAAGTTATATTGAAGCCATAAATCATTCACTGATTACAGGTTTGTTACCTTTGATGAGGTGTCCTTAGCTTATCTTTATCAATAGAATTAATGATGCATAACAATGTACATAAAGGTAATCCGGTAAACGAGGTCAAACATGTAAGCGTGTATGGAACAACATCCTATTTAATTACGCTTTATAGATATTATTTTAAATGAGCATTCAGTTTTAAAAGTATCCTGATATTTAAAAGTTATTCTTCAAATAAGGATATTTATAAATGAATAAGTATGATATATATTATTTTATTTAACACTGTACATCGTGTTAAATACTGGGGTACTCTCAAGGGGAAAATTTACTAAAATATATAGGAAAAACCAATGGACAAATTTCAGTCAATAAATGATTTAACTAAGTTAAATGGTGCCGTGATCACTTCTAAATTATATCAAGAGAACAATGCCTGCTCCGAATTTATTCAGACAATTTCCGATGTTATAGAGAAAGAGGTGATGTCCGACGTAAAGTTAAGTCCCGCCGTGGGAATTATGATCGACTAAGGTGTAGTCTAGGTATTGACGCTTTAGATCAACTTATGAGGATAAGCTTAGTAGGTGTAGATGTTAAAAACTTTGACCCTGTTCCTGCTATCCGCAAATGGCAATCCGTTCGTAACCGCCATGTTTATCAGAACAATGCATTTAGCAAGCTCATGAATGTAAAATCTTTAATTAGACTAAATGAACTCTAATCTTGTGCTGTGATCTGTGCTTCTTTTCAATGTGCTCATTGTAATATTTATTGCGTGTGTTTGTCAGCATTGTGCTCTTCTGACATTTTATTGTTGTTATATGCTTACATAAAATATCATGTTGTTATTCATTAAATTATTTATCAACTGAGTATGTTTTTATTTATTCCTTATTTTCTAAATCAGGTTGGGAAATTGTACAAAGAAAAATGTTATCACTGTTCAGTAGATTTTACACGGTTTAAAACAATATCCTTCATCGGGCCTCCTCAATGTTATCTATAAATACCGCATCAGTTGTAAAAGTCACGTGGTCAGGTAATCAATACACAAAAAGAAAAGTATCACGTGTATTGATGATCAAGTTGTACTGCAATTAAAGCCAACATCAACAGTTTCAAATAAGATGGCCTTAATTTACAAAGTGTTAAGTACTCACAGAGAGAAGATAGATTATATAAACAGAAACAAAAACATGAGAACAGTCAGGTACTGAAGCTGATTGATGCAATGATGGTTACTGTATTACGATACACAGAAAAATGACACAATACCGAGGATAATATTTTATTTATTTTTAGAATGAAGAAAACAAAACAGTTATAAATAATTTTATTGCATATAACACTACTAATTATTTAGACACATATATCAATTTATGCATCCTCTCAGTTACATTTAAGTATCCAGCTGATCATTGACCGTCAAAAATATTTCTTTGAAAAATGTCCGGCTGTCGTCAGGAAATTTTGGAAGCCCTGCCGTGGACAATAAAAAATTACACTTGACAAATTCAATTTAAACAAAAATGTAGACTTACTTCCACAACTTATTAGGCTGTATTACTTTATGAAATAGAAACCAATGATCAACACGTGAAAAACAAAAATACTTAAGTCAAAACATCATTGTTCATGACGACAAGTATTAAAAAAAAAACAGAAATAGATCAATAACCAAAACAAAAAAATAAGTATGTGATCCCAGGTCTCATAAACATTGCTTTATCTTTGTCCATTGATCTGGGATCGTCGATTAGGTTTTATCCGGCATCACACAGAAGTGTTATTTTAATTTTTCATGATTGAAATTTAGGATGGAGATCACTGTAATTCATTGCAACCAATGTAATAAATACCTGATAAAAACACCTTGACAGGGTCATCAAGACAAACAGAATGAAAATAACAATGATGAGTCGAGGAAAAAAAATGGAAAACGCAGGCAAGGAGAATTCTAGACGTTGTGGCCTAAAAAATTGAACCTGGCTCTCTATTTAAGAAACTTCTGAAAATAAGATTTTTGCACAATTTTTAGGAAACACTCACAACTTGCTGATCAAAGTCTTACTCATTTGTTGGCAAATTAATAGATAGAAGGGACAATTTGGAGGCCCATCAATGTTCTGCAAAACACCAAGCTTGTCAGATGCAAGAAAACAGTAAAATTAAACAGGTGTCTGGGGGAATGGACAAAACATTAATTGCCTTCTAGATGTTTTTTTGTTTTTGGGTTTCTGTCTCAATGATGTTAACTCCTTTTATTTATACACATAAAAAAATATCACAAACATCATTTATATCATTGTATATTGTGATACAAAACAGTTTTAAGAATCATAGAAGCTTACAGCAAAATACTTGAATATTTATTGGGAAATTCAGGGCAAGTAACTTTTTTTTTTACATTTTAACTTGCCCACAGACAAATGTTCACAACAAGTATTTCCACACCCCTGGTTTAGATCATGCATGCAGTTTTTCAAGAAATTGGTGGGAATATGATTTCCTCAAAAAGATTCAATGGAAAAAATTTGTAGATATAAAATGTTCATCTATCCAGATTCTCCCACCTGTTAATCTATTATCTACAATGTGCCACTTTTAATATTTTTACCTAGCTTTCTATTCCCATTTTCTTTTTCAGATCAAGTGTTTCTTGGAATATGAGTTCCTTTAATCGTTCTTTGGGTAGATCATCTAATTCCATTTCAAATGTGAAAGGTTCTTCTGCGACAGGTTCGTCTGCAGGATCATAATATTGTTCCAGATATGGATGTTCCAATGATTGTTCCACCGTGATCCTCTTGTGTGGATTGAAACATAACATTTTCTCTAACAGATCTAAAGCTGAAAAAGAAAGATACACACTAACATTAATGACTTGATAAGCATAAGCACACTAACATTAATCATTGACTTGATAAGCATAAACACACTAACATTAATGACTTGATAAGCATAAACACACTAACATTAATGACTTGATAAGCATAAACACACTAACATTAATGACTTGATAAGCATAAACACACTAACATTAATGACTTGATAAGCATAAACACACTAACATTAATGACTTGATAAGCATAATTATAACTATCAACATCTTATCTGCTTATGGAAAATCTCATGTTTTTTTTTATTCCTTTGTTGTTTCAGAATCGTAAAAACTATGTGTTATTTCACTAATTGTATCTCAAAATGAAAGTAACATTGCTTCAATTGTTTGGGGTGTTTTTAAGCAATCACAACATTTGATTTAATGCTTTAAAAAAATTTGTAAGGGTTCCGCGGAACCCAGTGTCTCGCCTACTTTTGCTGTTATCTATGTTTTCGGTGTGATAGGGGAATGCACATAATAGATTTACAGTTAATGAAATAAAACTTTTGAAATGTATGAAAAAGTTATGTTTGTAAAAATGTATACAGTATGGAATCAAATCTATAGATTTATAAAAGAGTTGAAACATAAATTGATTGAATGAACAAATGATAAAGAAGATAATTTTTACATTGTTTGATGATTTATCCCTTAATTCAGACAACGACTGAATGTAGGATCGCTGTCAACAAAAATGGGGAAAAAATTATTAAAACTTTTCCTCTAGATACTATCTTTTGATTGTAAGAAGCTTCTGTCCAAGTTTGGTAAAAATCCAGGATGGTTTAAGAATCTAATAAATGTTTTAATAAAATGCTCCGCTGGGGCGCAGCTTGATACGACCGCAGAGGTCGAACCCTGAACAGTTGGGGCAAGTATGGACACAACATTCAAGCTTGATACAGCACTGAATTTGGATTGTAATTAAATATTTGACACAGCATAGGTTTCTGACACAGAATAAATGTGGTCTAAGAACTTAAAAATTTTTAATTTATCTATTCAAACCATATCATTATTATTTGCTTTTACATATAAATCAGAAATAACCAATTTAAAATGGAAAATTTTAAAGAAAAAAAGGAAAAAAAAATCCCCCCCCCAAAATTTTTTGAACCCCCTTATGATTCATCACCCCAAAACTCAATCCCAGCCTTCCCTTTGTGGTATGGTACCTTGCAGTACACATACATGTGATGGACTGTGAGTTTTGGAGATTAGGACTCAGATCAGGATGTTTTTAATCGACATAAATTCTGTCGTAAATGTAACCGTGTGCTGTAGAAATTGTCTGTTAAAGTGTGTTTTCTTCAACTTTCCATCCGAATGTATTATGTTTATAGTACCTTTGTACTTATAAATTTTCTCTATCTTTTTAAACTTTCAACTTGTTCAATCTAACATTCTTCTTTTTCAGTATGTTCTTTTAAATTTTTAGGTCATATCTTTTTAACCATTATTCATTGCAATCAGAACATTTGCTTATCTATCTGCAAGTAGATCTTTTATTTTTATCTTTATGCAAGTAGATTTTTAATGCATGATAAGTAACACATTCAAACTGAAATCATGGGTCATAGTTATTATATAAATTTCAATTTAAGCCTTGAAAGGAAGTATAGAACCCTCAAATAATTTTCAAATTATTATTTTTTTATTTGTCCTAAATCATTTAATTACCATCCTTTTGTGATTATTTGTTCAATTTATATTTTATTTATATTCTTTTAAAAATTTACATTATTTAAAGGAAAGTAACTTAAAATAGGATAAATCAAGGGAAGTAACCCAACATTCATTTTAAATAAACCAATTTTTTTTTACACAACGGCAGTTAGCCTGAGTTAAAATCGTTTATTACCAGTATGTTTGACACCCAAGGTGACAAGTGAGGCCATATAATTATGCATGTTAATTGATTTACAGGTAAAATATAACTTCAGTAATGTCAGTTACACCAGATATGTTGGGCTGAAATTTTTCATTCATGAAATATTTCATACACGGGATTTTTTTTTCTTCAACGGGAGGTCGGGAGGAGACCCCTGAAAACGGGATTATTGTACTCCCGTCAGGAGGTTCACATGTATGAACTGTACAATTTCAGAGAGATCCATACACTTGAACACAAGTTATTGTCTGGAAACAAGAAAAATGCTTGTTTTTTGGCCCCAAATTCATGAACATTTAGGGCAATTACCCCCAAACTCAAACCCAGCTTTGCCTTTGTGATATGGAACCTTGCAGTACAATTTCATAAAGATCCATACACTTACACACAAGTTATTGTCCTGAAACTAGAAAAATGCTTGTTTTTTTGCCCCTTTATGGCCCCTTATTCCTCAAATTTCTAGGGAATTACCCCCAAAATCAATCCCAGGCTTCCCTTTGTGGTTTGGTACCTTGCAGTACAATTTCAGAGTGATCCATACACTTGAACACAAGTTATTGTCTGGAAACTAGAAAAATGCTTATTTTTGGCCCCTTTTTCCTAAACGTTGTGGGCAATTACCCCCAAAATCAATTCCAGCTTTCCCTTTGTGATATGGAACCTTGTAGTACAATTTCATAAAGATCCGTACACTTACACACAAGTTATTGTCATGAAACTAGAAAAATGCTTGTTTTTTGCCCCTTTTTGGCCCCTAATTCCTAAAATTTGGAGGCAATTACCCCCAAAAATCAATCCCAGCATTCCCTTTGTGATATGGAACCTTATGGTACAATGTCAGAGAGATCCATACACTTACACACAAGTTATTGTCATGAAACTAGAAAAATGCTTGTTTTTTGCCCCTTTTTTGCCCCTAATTCCTAAAATTTGGAGGCAATTACCCCCAAAAATCAATCCCAGCATTCCCTTTGTGATATGGAACCTTATGGTACAATGTCAGAGAGATCCATACCAGGGCTTCCAAAATTTCCTGACGACAGCCGGACATTTTTCAAAGAAATATTTTTGACGGTCAATGATCAGCTGGATACTTAAATGTAACTGAGAGGATGCATAAATTGATATATGTGTCTAAATAATTAGTAGTGTTATATGCAATAAAATTATTTATAACTGTTTGGTTTTCTTCATTCTAAAAATAAATAAAATATTATCCTCGGTATTGTGTCATTTTTCTGTGTATCGTAATACAGTAACCATCATTGCATCAATCAGCTTCAGGACCTGACTGTTCTCATGTTTTTGTTTCTGTTTATATAATCTATCTTCTCTCTGTGAGTACTTAACACTTTGTAAATTAAGGCCATCTTATTTGAAACTGTTGATGTTGGCTTTAATTGCAGTACAACTTGATCACCAATACACGTGATTCTTTTCTTTTTGTGTATTGATTACCTGACCACGTGACTTTTACAACTCATGCGGTATTTATAGATAACATTGAGGAGGCCCAATGAAGGATATTGTTTTAAACCGTGTAAAATCTACTGAACAGTGATAACATTTTTCTTTGTACAATTTCCCAACCTGATTTAGAAAATAAGGAATAAATAAAAACATACTCAGTTGATAAATAATTTAATGAATAACATTACTTTAAATAGGCAATTATATGTGCAGTAATTGACACGGCGGTACCAGAAGACAAGTTCAAAAGTTTTGTAAAACTAATTTTCAGTTCACCAGCTTTGAGGTATGATAAGTACAAAATTAAATGTTTTTGCGTAGCCAGATCAGTTGACTCGTCGATCATAATTCCCACGGCGGGACTTAACTTTACGTCGGACATCACCTCTTTCTCTATAACATCGGAAATTGTCTGAATAAATTCGGAGCAGGCATTGTTCCCTTGATATAATTAAGAAGTGATCACGGCACCATTTAACTTAGTTAAATCATTTATTGACTGAAATTTGTCCATTGGTAAGTTTTCTTTAGCAATAAAGTAAGCATTACGGAACAAGGTGCACATTGCGTTGTCAGTCTTTTCATGAACTTTCTCAAATACTGATACAATTGGATTACTTTTGGAAGCTGTCTCTAATTTAAGAGCTTGAATGTGGTCATTGCTATTAGCGTGCTCTACAACGGCTCACTTTCGAAAATTTGTCGAACCAGGCTTTACAAAGTTATTTTTAAGTTTTGTTTTTGACACTGAAATCGTCACGTTTACGTTTGCCCATGATGGCAGATTTGTAAAGTTCAATTTGAGACAAAGTCTTTATAACAGTCGGAGATTGTCATGATTGGATATTATTCTTTATGATTTTAATTATAGTTTTTAATATGAAAACAAGAATAGAGAACGTCCCCCTTATTTATTGGACAACTCAGCTTGGTTATACCCAAGCGAAGCTATTCTCGGTGTGTTTCCTATATATTTTAGTAAATTTTCCCCTTGAGAGTACCCCAGTATTTAACACGATGTACAGTGTTAAATAAAATAATATATATCATACTTATTCATTTATAAATATCCTTATTTGAAGAATAACTTTTAAATATCAGGATACTTTTTTAAACTGAATGCTCATTTAAAATAATATCTATGAAGCGTAATTAAATAGGATGTTGTTCCATACACGCTTACATGTTTGACCTCGTTTACCTGATTACCTTTATGTACATTGTTATGCATCATTAATTCTATTGATAAAGACAAGCTAAGGACACCTCATCAAAGGTAACAAACCTGTAATCAGTGAATGATTTATGGCTTCAATATAACTTATTGAAGGGATAATTGTTTGACAGCTTGTTGTTATTTAAATAAAAGAAAACGTGTTTTTTCTACTTTTTATTGATGTACACAAGCTAAAGACCAAGCCGTACATTTATGTACCCAGAGGATTAGACTAACTGAGACACTTCAAAGTATCTGAAATATGCTGCTTCTGTTTTATTAAACCCAATTATGACCGAAATATCTTTGTGAAATAGATTGCCACAATTATAAACTAAAATGCCCAAACGGACATGCCCCAAACGGACATTTTTATCGATCGATAGTTG